AAATGTGTTTTTCTACTGGTTCTTCATCTATTTTCAAAGATTCTGCTATTTCTACCCCTGTCAAACAAACTTTCCCTAAACACAAACCTATTTTTCAGGGTTCATTTTGTTTATTTAAAGGCAGAGGACTACAGAGACAGAGATAGAGAAGCAACTTTTCCATTCACTGGTTCACTCTCCAAATGGCCACAATAGTGGGGGGATAGGTGAGGCCAAAGCCAGGAGCCCAGAGCTCCATTTGTGTCTCTGGCATGGTGGCAGGAACCCAGGTCCTCAGGGCATCTTCCATTGCTTTTCCAAGCACAGCAATAAGAAGCTGGATTAAAGCAGAGTATCTGGAACTCAAACTTTGACTCAAACCAGTACTCTTATAAGTTGCTGGCAATGTAGGTAGAAGCTCTATAATGCTGGCCCCACAAACCTATTTCTTTTATAAAATAAATATTAAAATACATATACTTTTATGTTTAAAATTTATAAGGATTTTGTTACTTTTTGATTAACACATAATTACAGCTATTTTAGGGAGTATGGTGATTACACAGTATGGACTGATCAAATCATGATAATTAGCATTTACATCTCCTTATCATTTACATTTGGCGCTTTTGAGCTCTACTCTTCAGGTTCTTCATAAAATATGTACTAGGTGGGGCAGCAAGTAAAGCTCCCACCTGTGGCGCCAATATCCCATATAGGCTTCAGTTTGAGTCTTCGTGGTTTCCATTTCTGATCCGGCATCCTGCTCTGCAACTGGAAAAGCAGCTCAGGACCCTGAGCCCACATGGAAGGACCCAGGTGAAGCTCCTGGTTCCTGGCCTCTGCTGCACCCAGCCCAGAAGCAACAATTATGACCATTTGGGGAGTGAATCAGCACAAGCCCGGAAGCAATCAGGAGCTTCACCCAGGTCCCACAAGGATGTAGGGGCTCAAGCACTTGTGCTAAGCTGTACTGCTTTCTCAGGCCATTAGCAGAGAGCTGGGTTGGAAGTAGACCAGTTCGAACTTGGACTGAAGCCCTATGGGATGCTCTCATTTTAGGTGGAGGCTCAGGCTAATAACATCACAACACTGGCCCTGCTATTGATTGGTGACTGTGGATTTGGTGTCCTGCAACTTTACAGGTATTGAATTCCAACAATCTCACTAAACTTTTATGGAATAATTATTCCTAAAACTATTCTAAAAATCCAGAGAAAGGGAAGGAACCCTCCCAAATTATAACATTATCAATACAACAAAAGTAAAAATCAGAGCCCATTTTTTCCTAATGGACATAGAGGAAAAATTTTTACCAAAATGTTAGCAAATCAAATCTAATAATACACCAAAATGATTATTCACTATGATAAAGTTGGAGTTATCCCAGGGATGCCAGGATGATTCAGCACATGCAAATCAATAAATGTAATTTAAAAACTTCAATAAAGGCCAAAAACATATAATCATCTCAATAGATGCAGAAATTGATATGTTCCAGCATTGCTTTATGATTTGGAAAGACAACCCTGAAAAATCAGATATAGATAGATCATATTGCAAGGCAATAAAGGCTGACACATAGTCAGCATGGTACTGAGAGCGGGAAGTTGAAGTATGGCCTCCAAGTCCTGAACAAGACAAGTGTGTCCACCCTCACTGCTTTTATCCAATATACTTGCCAATAGGCAAGACAAAGAAGAGACATTAAACATGAAGGAAGAAGTCAAGTGATCCCTGTTTGCAGTGACACAATTCTGTGTAGGGAAACACCTGATGACTATACCAGAAGGCTATTAAGACCGATATGCTTATTTCTTGAATACTCCCTGCCCTGTCCACTGTAGCTACTATTTGGTATCTATTGCCCTTCATTACAAAAGTCCATAAAGGAGTTCTCTGTATTTGTTCAGTCCATGTTTGTTATCTTCCCATTCCAGTGATACTTAAACTGAGATCTGAAGGGACTACAGGGGTTATGAGGGTGTGCTGTGCACACAAGGCTTACCTATAGAAATTTGGGTTGCCAGACTGGCCAGCCAGGCCAAGTTCTGCTAATACCTGGTGAGAGTTTGAAGGATTCTACATTTTTGGACTGGTCCTTTGTGGGGCTCAGGGGCAAAGAGGTCACTAAGTCAATAAGATGGCAACTAAGGTCAGTCCAGGTCACTGGCAGGCAAGATGGCCCCCAAGGACAGATCCCTGGGCATGAACCAGGGCAGGAGTCACGTAGCTCCAAGGAAATACTGATTGACCAGGGCCATCTCACTCACCCACCTCTGGCCTATGGGAGGTAGCTTCCTCAGTCATTCTTCTAGTAATTGGCTGCTAGTTTCTCCCCTCCTGGAATTCCCGAAATTCCCGGCCTGAGGCTCTCCCTTACCTTATATAAGAAATTGAATTTCCCCAATAAATCAGAACTGCTTAGGCAGAACCCCTGTCTGTCTGTTTGTCTCTCGCGAGCCAGGAGCCTGGGTGGTGGGCAGCAGGCTCAGGCTCTCTGGCAACGGGGTACTAAAGAAATCTGTGGGGGAGACCCTACAGTCCTTCTACCTTTTAATCAAAGGATAAGTAAGTAAGGTAAAGACACTCCTTAACTAATTGGTTCCTAAAATGCACACAGAAATAAAAAATAAGGTGGTGTGCTTTAGTATAACCAGCTAAAGCTTCTGCCTGTGTCACCAGTATCTCTTATGGGCACTAGTTCAAGTCCTGGCTGCTCCACTTCTGATCCAACTCCCCCCCGCTAGCACCCTGGGAAAGCAGCAGAGGATGGCCAACATCCTTGGGCTCTTATAACCACATGGGAGACCCAGAAGAAGCTCCTGGCTTCTAGCTTCAGATTAGCCTGGGAATGAACCAGTGTAGACAAGATGTCCCTCTCCTCTCTCATGGTAAAAGCCTTTCAAATAAAACTATTTAAAAAGCAGTAAATAGAAAAGATAGGCAAAATATAGGGTTACAAATGGGGTGGATGGGTCTGTGTGGTTTGAGTGGACATTTAGCATCATGGTTAAGATATCAACATGGACATCGACATTCCAGGCAGAGTAGTTGGCTTCAATACTAGGCTTCTGATCCTGTCCAAGTTCTTAGAAGCTGGGAGGAGGCAGAGAGTGACAGCTTGAGTGGTTGAATTCCTGCCACTCATGTGGGAGACAATGACTGAAACCTCAGCTCCTGGTTTGGGTCTAGCCCTGCCACAGCTGTTGAGGTCATTTGGGGAGTGAACCAGTGAGCAACCTTCTGTCTGCCTCTCAATCAGTGTTTTAAAATAGGCCAAAAAAGGGCCTGGCGCAGTAGCCTACCACTAAAGTCCTTGCCTTGCATGTGCCGGGATCTCATCCTGGTAGCCCTGCTTCCCGTCCAGCTCCCTGCTTGTGGTCTGGGAAAGCAGTGGAGGATAGTGCAAAGCATTAGGATCTTGCACCTGCGTGGGAGACCCAGAAGAAGCTCCTGGCATCAGATCAGCTCTGGTCTGGCCTCTTGGGGAGCGAATTAGCAGACGGAAGATCTTCCTCTTCTCCTCTCTGCATATCTGACTTGCCAATTAAAAAAAAAAGCACTCACTTGAGCACATTGTACTAGTAATGAACCAAGCATCATATACACATGAAGGCAGTTTTTCAAATGGTGTGGAAAACAGTTCCAGTAAGGTGACACAAAGACGCGGATGCCTGCAAGCATGAAGTCAGGAGCCTTTCACTCCAGCCCGGCCTCCAGCAGGGGCAAGTTTTCAGAGTGAATTCTTGCAGAGTCTCAAGTGTCTCAACTGAAAATGTGAGGACACTTGTATTGACTGCCCCACAAAGTATTATCTTAGCTTCCAGATATCAACTTTAGAAGGAAAAGTCCTGAACCCAAAAGACCTCTTTCGTATGCTGCTGCACATTCTCAACGCTGCTATCAGTCGGCCAGCAGTGTGAAGTAATGGATGACTTTGTTATCAGCCTGTCACTGGGCTCAGCTACCAGTATTACAAGAAAAGCTCAAAATGGAGTGAGTTTTTCAACAGTTATATGAATCACAGCTAAAATATCAATTTTTCTAAGATTCATGAAAATTATAACATAAGAACCATTCATTACACTGCAAGTATGGGGGTGGGGATGAAGAAAAATCATGGAAGAGTAAGTTGGTTTTGAAGAGACTAAACCAGGCAGGCCTTGTGATATGAAACATGTACCTGGTCTTCACCACCCCCTTCCTGGTATACAACTGCTAAAGCATTTAGAACCTGCAAAGTGCGACTTTTTTTTCTGCTAATGCACAGGTGACTGGCAGTCCCCAGGTTGCCTCACGGTCTGCCCAGGCCGGCCTCTGCCTCCCCCACTCTGAGCGGGATTGCAGACAGGGACTCAGCCCCATTGTCCATCCTCCAGGCAGCAGGGAAAGGCTGAAGATGGAGTTGATCTTCAACAAGCAACTATTTGGTTAGCCATACCTATGCCATTAGGCTTTCTGACTATTCAAAAAGACTTGAGTTCAGCAAGCTTCTTGATGCACAGGTTCCAGGAAGGGGTGCTCCCTGACACTGCTTGGAAGCTCTGTACCCCTTCCCACATACCCTGCCCTGTGTACCTCTTCATGTTTCCTCTGCAATATACTTGACAATAAGAAAACAAACAGAATCACACTGCAAGTTATTCAAACCTAAGATGGGATCCACGGGAACCCTGATTCATAGCTGATTAGCAGCACAGATGAAACGGACTGGGTTTTTGCATTGGCATCTTAAGTGGGGGACAGTCTTACGGAACTGATCCTCCAACCTGTAGGATCTAAGGCTATCTTCACAAGGTATCTGAAACGGATTGGACCAAGTTGGAGGGGATACAGTTGGTGCCTATTGCTGAATTACATGGTTTATGTTGGCCAGTCTTCTGAGCTGATTGTTGGGTCTAAATGAGTTGGCCCCTCCCCATCTACCCACACTGCCAATTTAGGCTGATTACAAGTCTGTTACAATATAGATGAGCTGAGTTAGTAGTAATGGTGATGATGAGGCTAGGAATTTTTTTTTTAATATGGAATGTTTCACGAGTTTGTGTATCATTTTTGTGCAGGGGCCATGCTAATCTCTGTGTTGTTCCAATTTTAGTATATGTGCTGCTGAACCGAGCACTAGGAATTTTTTTTTTTAAAAGATTTGTTTTTATTGGAAAAGCAATAACTGAGAGAATGAGAGACAGCAAGATCTTTCATCTGCTGGTTCACTCAGGAACCTGGAGCTTCTTCTGGGTCTCCCACATGGGTGCAGGGCTCCAAGGTTTTGGGCCATCCTTGACTGCTTTTCTAAGCCACAAGCAGTGGTCTGGATGGGAAGCGGGGCTGCTGGGACACAAACCAGCACCCATATGGGATCCCAGCGCATGCAAGGCAAGCTGCTAGGCTACTGTGTCAGGCCCAGGCCAGAAATTTTTTTTTTAAGACACTTGGAAGACAGAATGGATAAGACTTGGCAATTACTTTTGTATATTTTAATTTCTCTGTGCTGAAAGTAGCAGTGTGGACTTTGTGTAGGAGTGGAATTTGTAATAATTGATGAGACTTCAAAGAAGTCTTCCACTTACACGTAACAGGTGTGTAGATAAAACATTTTTCACACTTAAAATACTTTGGTTTTCTGCATTAGAACAGGTAGCAGAGCCTATTTGTAGGTAATTAATAACCAGAATTCAGCGGATACCCTTTTTCCCCTAACCTAGAGAAATGACCCTTGAATCTAAATTGGAAAGTTGTTTTCAGGAGAATGATATGCCAAATCACATTTCCATATTTAGCTAAGGCTAACAACTATTTACCCAAGCTCTCCTAAGAGCTGTGAGAATTACTGCCTGCTGTGGTCAGAATACCCCTAAAGTTCATGCATTGGAAACAATCCTGAGTTCAAGGTTGGGAGTTCTGGCTTAATAAAAAGTGATTAGGTAATGAGGAACAAACGAAGGTCACTTTTGGGTGAGTGTATATATCAAGAGTGGGTTTGGTATAGGAAATGAGTACACAGCCCCTCAATTTCTGCCATGTGTACCCTCTCCCGTGGTCTTCCACCTGAGGATATGTCGCTGTCCTGCAGTGATGGACTTGATGCACGGAGCCAATAGTAACACACGTGGACCCTGACTGATGGTCAAAGCTGAAGTTTATTAGTGGCATCAGACTTTATACACTGAGGGTCAGATGGGATAAGGGAGGAGGTATTGGGCTCATCAACAAAACCCATTAACAGTTTCTATGCTTTTGTTTGGAACTTCTTCTGCCTTGTATATTCCACCAAGTGTTCTCACACACATACTGTGCATTCACTTCACTTGATCTTAGCCAAAAGGCCAAGAAGCGATACACATAGTGTGCATTCAACCGTTCTTATACAAATGATATCCTATCAGGTATACAAAAGGTAGCCATTCGGTTGTTCTCATGCAAATATTATCCAATCAATTGTAATCCTGTGCTCCCTGACCTTCTAGAGTCACAATGTCCTCCTACAGGATACATACCAAGAAAACCCTCACTAGATGTTGACCCCTTGATCCTGAACTTCCCATCCTCCAGAACTGGAAGAAAACAATCTGTTCTTTGTTGTTGTTTTTATTTTAACAATCTATTCTTTAAAAATGCCTCGGTCTTGGATGCTGTTGTAGCACCTTAAAGTGAAGTAGACAGTTCCTCATTACACCTCCCAGAGGCGTGCCTCCCTCTCCCACTCTGAATTCTGCTTTTCAAAATAAATCAACACAGAGAGAGAGGGAGAGGGGAAGAGATCTTTAGTTTGCTAGCTTAGCCCCAAAGGCCAAAATGACCAGAATTAGGCCAGTCTGATGTCAAGAGCCTCATTATGTTTCCCACTTGAGTGCCGGGGCCCAAACAATTGGGCCGTTTTCCACTGCTTTCCCAGGCACATTAGCAAGGAGCTCAATCAGAAGTGGAACAGGTAGGATGTAAATCAGCACCCATGTGGGATGCTGGTACCACAGGTTACCACAACACCACTGTGCCAGCCTCAAGGTAAAATACTTTAAAAATATTCTACTTATTTTTATTTCAAAGACAGATTTATTTATTTTATGGAGAAAGGACAGACAGAGAAGTCTTCCATTCACTGGTTCACTCTCCAAATGGCCACATAGCCAGAGCTGAGCTGATCCAAAGCCAGGAATGAAGAGCTTTTTTCTGTGTTTCCCACATGGGTATAGGGGCTCAAAGACTTAGGGCCATCTCCTCTGATTTCCCAGGCCATAAACAGAGAGCTGGATGAGAAGAGGAACAGCTGGGACTTGGAACTATCAGCCATATATGATGCTGGACCTTGTGGGGAGAGGGTCAGCCTAATGTGCTACAGTGCTGGGCCCAAGCTAAGATACTTAAAAAAAAAAAAAAGTTCATAATACAATACTTACATTTTAAGTCATGTTCCATGAAAACATAAAGCGAGGGCAAGCACAGAGGCATAGCGGGCTAATCTGCTGCCTGCAGCACTGGCATCCCACATAGGTGTCTGTTCATTGCACTGCTGCTCCACTTCTGATTCAGGTTCCCTGCTTATCACCTGGGAAAGCAGAGGATGGCTCAAGTCCTTGGGTCCTTGCCACCAAGTCGGAGACCCTGAAGAAGCTCCTGGCTCCTGACGGGCTCAGCTCCATTTGGGGAGTGAGACAGAGGATGCAAGACCTCTCTTCTCTCCTTCTCCCTGTAAAAAGCAGCCTTCCAATAAAAATAAGTAAATCTCCAAAAGACAACCATAAAACACAGGTATAGATTACAAACTTTAAACTACTATATATCAAATGTGTTAAAATAACAGAATTTATCATGTATCAATAGAAATAGTAAATGACACAGAGTTTACAACCTCATAAGAGTTCTTACCATTTTTTTGCATTGTCTGAGCATGATCTGGTACACTTTCAGTTCACATTCTATTATCTTTCATCATTCAAACAAACAAGCAAACTCAAGTTTATTTTAAAACAGAAATTTATTGGATGTAATAGGGAACTTATTACATAAAAAATCATTTTTCTAGTCAGTTCTAGAACATGATAGACAGTTTTAAAATACTGCTAAATTAACACTTTAAATTTTAAAAAAGTTTAAATAATTTTCCTTAAAAAAATAAAGCCTCATAGTGTTATAAAAGTATCAATTTATGTATCAAAGTGTTAAAATACAACAGAAGGTATAAAGCAAGCTAAAACTAATTTATTTGACTTAATCAACTGGGAAACACTGCAGGCTAACTAGATAGAGCTGATATTAAAAAAAAAAAATCTGTATTCCAGGTGGAATACAGAAGTTGTTTATGATACTTTTCATTCCTAATCAAAGAGCCACACAGCGCATTAAATATTTTGCCTTGTTTCAGTTAACCTGTAATTGCCAATGTAAAATTATTCTAAAAATTCAGTTTTACAATGTTCCCGTCAATAAGCCTTTCCATACATAAGGGTTACTTTAAGAATGGAAAGACGCTGAATCCCAACATTTATTTAGTGGACATCAGTACAATATTGCTTATGTAGTACTCTCAATGGCTTTTTTCTCTTGACTTTGAAAATTCGGTAACCACGCATGAGAATCTACACTAGAGAATCCAATTCAAAAGACTGAGACATTTGATTCCGACCACCTGACTTCACAGAGCATCCTTCCTCCAGAATGCATGCATGCAGTGATTTGCAGTCAGGATTTTGACTTTATTCACATTCCCCTCACTCAGCCCTCTCTAAAGTTGTTCTTTGCGGTAAACAGGGTGTTAAAAATAGCATAAGCAGAATTACTCATTTGACATTGTGATCAGTAAATTCAACATTTTCTCTTGTTAATAAAAATGAGAAAATTTAAATCAGCTGATTCACTGGTCTGAAACACAATTTCTTGGTTTTTGAAATTTAATTGAGATCTGCCTGCAATTTTGGAGATCATTCTTAAAAAAATTTTTTTTGCTGATAGGTTTTAGTCAAATGTTAAAACAATTTTATTTACAAAATTTTATTCCTGTACAGAACTTGCAACAGCAAATGAAAATGGAAAGTTCATTTGCATTTATTATAAATGTACTATTTTAGCAAAATCAACAACTAAAATACATCAATGCCAATGGAAGAGAAGTTAAAAATCTTTCTCCAAAAGAGAAATAAATTGCATATTTTACTAATAAGGAATTGGTAGGCAAAAAAAAAAAAATCTCTTATAAACTAAAATACAACATATGAGTGCTAGAAAATCAGCCTTTCTCCAAACCTTGCATTTTCTTCTGCTGAAGTAAACTGAAGCAAAAATAGTTGCATTATCATTAAAGATAGAGCTAAGCCACAAAAATATTCATAGGTAATTTCTAAGTAATAGTTCCTTTTTGCAGTAAGGATTAATATCAAACATGTCATTTTGAAGAAAAAACAAACAAACAAAAAAAACCCCAGCTTCTCTTGCATTAAAAGTTATTGGCGACAGAGCAGGTGCTTGGCCTAGTGCTGAGACGCTTCCAACCCAGTTTAGAACGCCTCTGTCTGTGTCCTGGCTCTGCCTCCTGATCCTAGTCTGCTAAGGCTGCTTAGGCACACTCTGGGAGGCCGCGGTATTGGCTTCAATAACTGGGAACCTTCCACCTAGGCAAGAAACCTGCTCCTGCTTTTGGTCTAGCACAGCCCCAGCCATTACGGAGCATTTGAGGAGTAAACTAGTAGATTAGAATTCTCTCTCAGAAAAAGAAAAAATTGTTGGTAGTGGGAAGGTAGAGGAGAAAGCCTATCATTTGTTCATCTTGCTTCCCACACTAAAATATTGCTGCACTTTATTTTAATTTCACTATTTTCAGATAGGTTATTAGAAGGGTTAAGGATAATACAAGTTGATGTTGAAGATGAAAAAACTTAAGGAATTTTACTTTGTACTTCTATTTCTAAAAAGATATTTATGATTTACTTGGAAAGCAGTTATATACACAGGCCAACAGACTCTGAAAGAGAGAGACAGAGAGACAGTGTGTTTCGATCTACTAGTTCACCGTCCAAAAGGCCACAATGGCCAGGGCTAGACCAGACTCAAGCCAGGAGCCAGATCCCTTGGTGTCTCCCATGAGTGGTAGGGCTCACGGGAGGTCTTCACCTGTTTTCCCAGGAGCCTTATCAGGGAACTGGATTGGGAGTAAAGAGCTGGGATTTGAACTGGCACCATGTGGGATGCCAGCATCCTGGTTAGTGACTTAATCCACTGCATCACAATGATGATCCCTTCTCATTTCTATTTAATCAGAAACATTTCAACATGAACTAACACAAGCTTTTACATTCCTGGTAACTAAAGATTGCATACAGTAGAATTTGTATCAAAAATCTCTAATATCTAGATGTATTAGTTAACATGTTAATCCGGAGAAAAATATAGATTAATAAAACATTAGTTATTATTTAATCAAACAACTTTTTAAAGTGGCTTGTTTCAATGTTGTAAAACATGAGGAATTATTTCAACACTGAGGCTTCCGAAAATCATAAGGCTAGGATAAGAGTGTAGATAAGTTTATTAAAATAGCTGTATTTTGGCAGACATTTTATCTACATCATAAAATGGAAATACAGTTGGGAGTTTTAAAATGGCACTTCAGCTGTTCCACTCTCTATCAGAGTCTGCCAAACAAGTTAGATTGTTTGGAAAAAATTCAAGCAATATAGAGGAGACAAAATTAACTCTTGCCAGGCAGGTCATTTGCAATAAACAAAAGGTACTATAACAGTATTAAGCCGAAAGATGGGTTATTTGCCAGTGAGGCCTCTATTTGTAATTTACTCAACAGAAGTTAACGATTAAACAAAAGCACCTAATGTTAAATTAGTTCAAACATCAAAAGTCTGACTCATTTTAAAAGGCACTAGTTTTAACTTTCAGTAAGTTGAACTGGCCTTAGAATGAAAGACTAGGTGTGATTACATTGTTTTACACCTTAAAAAAAAAAATGTAAAACTACTATTTTTGTGATCACTTGCCATTTGGGAATTTCTTAGAAAAAGATAAAAGAAAATGAAAGACAGGTTGACCCCGATTCCCAGAATGTGCAAAAGTACATCTGAGATTTAGCAAAGAAGGAGGAAAAAGATCTTTTCAGTTTGGAAGGTGCCAGAGTGACAAATTGGTCTAAGCTATTCCAAGTGTCTTGAACTGAGGCAAATTATTCAAACTCTTTCTGATACTGTAATTTAAAAGAAATTAACACACAATCTCTTGCCCTTTATCTCCAAATCTTTGCTCCATTCTCCACCCAAGTTAACAGAGGATAGCTATGGAGAAAGGAGTGGAAATAAAACGAGGGGGAATGAACCTTGGGCCTGAAGTGTTAGTCTGTAATTTGAAAAGAAAAATAACTTAAAAAAAAAATAATACCCTTAGCACTAACACAACCAAACTCCAAGTATCAGCAATACCAAAGAGAAACACTGTTAATCTAGAACTCTAAGCTCTGCCTCCAAGAGGACAGCAGACTCCTCAACAGTACCCTTTGGTTTTTGTGGCCTTTTAGTGACTAGTTCTATTTACTATGTTTCTCTATATCTGGAAAAATATTCAGATATAATGTATACATAGTCTAAAGTAATTCAGGTTCTCAAGTTTCTAAAAATATACACTACAAAAATACTCACTTATATTTATTTCCAAATTATACATTTCTAATCTCTGCAGTAAGATCCACATTTTTATCATTGAACTGCCTTTTTTATTAGTTATTTCTATAAACAGATAAAATATACTCAATTTTTTACAATAAAATCTGTTCAGAATCTATCATTAAGAGTAGAAACAAACAGATTTGATCAAGAAAAGTATCAGGGTGGGTCAAAGTATGTTTTTAGAAAAATATACTGTATATAATACATCTTGGAAATTACACAGGCCATATAATTTTATTTAATGTGAAGGCACAACTTTTAACATAATCAAAAGTAAATGCATTTGAATGACCTATAATAGTCTCAGCTCATAAAAATATATGTGCTTGCAAGCATATTATTGAAGATTCTTTCATAATGCTAATTCAAAAGTCACTTTAAAAAGCCAAACTCTTATTTGTAGAAAATCAATGACACATTATTATTGCAGGTCCACAAAATATTATTGTGGAACAACCTGTTCATCAGTAATCACAGGATTTTCTTCATTTGTTGAATAGTCCAGATGGTTCATCATCTAGGAAAAAAGGAAGGTGTTAGTGAATTTTCAACTTGCACCCAAAATTCACTAATTTAGCAAAAGGATCCCGGGTTTTTAGGAAAGACACAGAACGAACCGCAGAACTGAGCATCCTTTTGGAGTGTTGCTGTGTTTCAAGGTATGTGCTCTAGGGAGCTTGTCAGGAGTGACACTGACCCTCTCCGGAAGGCTAACCATCTGACTCAGCTAATCTGATGACTGTTTTCTTTGGAGCATTCATTATCTGCATTTTCCAACACAGCTTTTCATGGCAGTGGGAATTCCAGACACTAATTCTAAAACATTATCCCACATAGCGTCTCCTCATATTAGTAGGAAAAATAGAAGTGGCCCAGGAGTCGCTGTGAGAATACCTTGCTAGCGCTAGGACGATATAACCTTACTGACTAGTGCAGCGGGTTGACCCACCATCTACAACATCCACATACCATATCAGAACACTGGTTCAAGTCCTGGCTGCTCTACCTCTAACACAGCCGCTTGTTAATGTAACTGGGAAAGCAGAGGAAAATGGCATGAGTATTGGACCCCTGCCAGCCACATAGGAGACCCAGACCTGGCCATTTGGGGGGTAAATCAGCAGATGCAAGAATTCTCTGTCACTCTGCCTTTCAAATAAAATAAATGTTAAAAAATATAATGTAAAAATGTTGTAAATTTTTTGATAAATCATGCAACAAAAATATTAAAAACAAAAACTAAAGATAAAGGTCAAACGGTATCTTAAAATCAAGAATGCATTTGCTGAAGACTATTTCTGGCAACTGATTAATTATTCGCCTTTTTTGTTTGAAAAGCAGAATGTCAGGAGGGAATATGGTGGCAGGGAAGAGGATGAGGGAGAAGAGCACAGATATCATCTGCTGGTTCATTCCCCGGTATCCACAACATGTGGTCGTGACCAAACCAAAGCCAGGAGCCAGGAACACTAGCCTAGTCTCGAGTGATAACCCAAACACTTCAGCCATGATCTGCCGCCTTCCAGGTGCGTAGGAAGCTGGATGTGAGTCAGAGCTGGGCCTCAGTTCTAGAAACAACTCTACAGGAGACAGGTATCCTAAGAGGTAGCTTAGCCCGCTGTGCCATACTACTCACCCCTAGACTATTCTGTAGATACACTATTTTAGACAATCATCATTTCAACTTTTCCCAAACAGTTGAAACTTTTTCCAAACAGTACTTCAGTTCTGCCTCTACACGCCCATGTGAAAATACCTTAAAACTCTTTAACTCTTTTTACATTCATGAATGAAGGAAAAAGAAAATTGTTTAAGTGATTTCAGTGTTTTTTTTTTTACTTTGTTCTTTAAATAAAGTTACTTTAATATGAGCAAAGCACTTAATGTCTCTATGAATGCTTTCAACCACTTTGATTTTCAGCACTGCAGTGAGCAGTAAGATAAATGTCCCTTAAAGCTCTAGTGTCCTAAAACTAGCCTTACTGTTCTTTGGGAGAGAGAAAGAATAATTTGCAAGTGATATTTTCACACCTGCTGAGAAGAAGACTACAAGAGCTGCCTCAACTACAGAGACAGCTTAGAAAACTCACCTGATGATACCCACAAGTCCCCTCAAGTCCTCAGTCAATTTTGAAATCCTCCATTTGTCAAAGCTATCTGCTAGACTAACATAGCTACATGCTCAGAGCACTGAGAAATGAAAATAAAAGGCAAATTAACATAGATAATGTTAACTTTCTACATAAAACATAACTTGAAGTTGGTGAACAGTTACTTCTGAAAATCCTTCAAAAGTTTTTGGACTTATTTTAATCTGAAAGGTACAGAGAGAGATGGCAGAGATTTCCCATCTGTTGCTTCACTCTTCAAGTGCCCACAACAGCAGACGCTGAGCACAGCTAACACTATGAGCTTGGCACACACAACTCACGTGTGTGTCAGAGCCTGGAGTACTGGAGCATCACCTGCTGCTGCTCGGTCTATGTGTTAGCTGGAAAACAGCTGGAACAGTCCAGCCAAGACTGGAACCTTGTGGGATGTGGATGTCCCAGGCAGTGGCTTAGCTTTTCTGCAGTGAATGCCTGCCCCTAGGCATCTGACTCCCAATTTCAATGAGGGTAAGGAGAAGCAAGTGTGTAAGATATATTTAGGTGCTGTTTCTTCCAGCTATTTTTTTCCTTCCAGCTATTGTGAAGGTCTGGGTGTAAGTGGCCAGAGCTGTGGGGACAGAGACCTGAAGTAGCCTGAGCACAATGTATGCTGGGAAACCTGCTTTCTTTACCATCATCTGCTTTCTCCGGTATCTGTAACCCAAAGAAGTAACACCACGGACCTTAAATTATAGCATGGACTTTAAATTGCAACCTTTAACTAACAGCATGCCTCTTCTTTCCCAATTACCATGTACCTCACTGGCAGCAAATCCCTGGGTGCAGAAATGTCTAAAAATACTTTCAGAATCAACTTAGTGAGAAGTATAACTATTCCCTACATATTTTTCTTTACTGAGTTTTCAATAAAGACAATGTAAATATTTAAGAGTATATATGAGGTATGTTTTTAAAAACACAAGTTAACATAAATAATCAAGCTGACTGGTTAACTTCGTAATTTTCATAGTATTTATGGATAGGTGTGTTCAGTTTGAAAAAGTATCTTGTGGGTCTGGCGGCGTGGCCTAGCTGCTTAAGTCCTTGCCTTGCACGCACTTAGATCCCATATGGTCGCCGGTTCTAATCCCGGCGGCCCCGCTTCCCATCCAGCTCCCTGCATGTGGCCCGGGAAAGCCCAATGCTTTGGTACCCAGCATCTGTGTGGGAAACCCGGAAGAAGTTCCTGGTTCCCAGCACAGCACCGGGAGTTGCGCTCACTGGGGGAGTGAATCATCAGATGGAAGATCTTCCTCTCTCTCTCCTCCTCTCTGTATATCTGACTTTGTAATAAAAATAAATAAATCTTTAAAAAAAAAAAAAAGAGAGAAAGTATCTTGTGCTAACCTGGCATTTCCCGAGAGCTCTGCCTTTCTCTGACTGAGCCAATGAAATACTCACTGAGGAGGCTGGTGAGCTGCTGATACTCAGGCTAACTCGTTCCAGCAGCAGCACTGTCTCCTGACTTGCCAGCTACAGCCTGTGCCTTCTAAAAATAATTTTAGAAGTGTAAGTGACATTTAGCAGGGACAAACTCACTGTTTATCAACAGACTGAAAACTTATAACCCATAGTAGAGCCTCCCATTAGAGGTTGCTGAACAAAAAAAATTTAACTCTACTGATTTAAAATTAGGAAAAAATCCCTATATAATGATCATTTTTCTTATTGTTCTGTATGTTAAATTAATTACGGATCTGCTTGGTTTTTCTCTGTAGAACAAAAGAAATACCACTATTTGCTATTTACCAATTAGAACTGAGACATAAAAAAAAAAAAGAGAGAAGCACATAAATGGAACTGAATACACAAGACCTTGAAGCAGGACAGAATAAAAACAAAGGTTAAAAAGACCTTGAAGCAGGATAGAAAAAAAAGGATCAGCATTGTCATGCATTAGATTAAACCACTGCCTGTGTCACCAGCATCCAACATGGACAGTGGTTCTAGTCCAAGCTGTTCCACTTCCAGTTCAGCTCCCTGTTAATGTGCTGATCTGTGCTGCTGACATCCTAAGTGGAGGCTTAATAAGCTGTGCCACAGTGCTGCCCTCAGGTTTATTTTTTTTTTTTAAATCATTACAAAGCTATCTGTATTTCATTTTCATGCGAAAGTTAAAAGCTACCTTACTAATTTAAAGACTTTGTAGCCATAAACTAATCTTGTGAATATTAATGTAAGTTAAGACAACCACATTGTGACACAAGCAAGGCAAGTATCATTATTTTATCCAAATTTGAAATAAATTACAGGAATTACAAAAGAATGTGTTTTTTTTTTTTTTTTTGGTTTTGTTTTAGTTACAGTAACCTGTAGCTTAATGTGTCACCCACCTCTTGTTAACAGCACAAATGACATTTTGACAAACTACGTGTACTTTGAACTGTTGATCTACTGGCAGAGTTGCAGCCACCCACCCAAAGTATCTCCTTTTGCTCACATGACACAGAGCCTAAAGGGGGTGGGGGTGGGTGGTTGGTTGTGACAGAACAGAACTGACTGCCCTACAAAATGCCTTCCTGACAGGAGCAGTGCCACCGCCCTTACCTCAATGGCTGGGCTTTCCCAACTCTCTTCAATTTCAATGAAGAGGCTTTACTGGAATACCGAGAACATTTTGGAAAAGCAGAAAGGGATTCAATGTCAACAAACAACTCAAACACAACAGGTTCTGGATCAACATTTTCTTGGTTCTGTAAAGCAAGCGAGGATAAGAACTGATGGACACCAAGGTGGATGCCCATTAAGGCAGTGGTAGTAGGAGATTCAGAGAGACCGAAGGCAACTTTTTGACAGATAAAAGTTCTGAAATGCATATATATATGTTTCTTGCCAAACTCTTGCGTTGTATCATTAAGATAATTTGGTAACCAAGGCATAAGCACATACCTGATAGTTGGTACCTTTCCAGAACTTTTTCATTTCCTTACGTCTCCAGGCAACAATGGAGGCGGTGATAAGTGTGCAAGGTACTAAATAGAGGAGGGCAGGTTGTCCCTTCTTCATCAGCACCAGAACAACAAATGTGAGTACCATGCCCACTGCGTAGGCTGCAAGAGGAATACCAAGTATCAGTCATTTCTTCAGGCTACCTACCTCTCTATGTCTAACCATATTTTCATTATTTTCCTGGACAATAATTAGGAGTTATCCTATAGAGCTTTTGAAAAATTTAGTTAGCTTTTCAATTTTTATAAATCTATTAATCATGAATAAAACTCATTTTGAAAGTCTGATGTTAATCTGGTCTACATTTTTAGATAACTAAATTGCTTATGAACGTACTATCTGTATATAAAAAAAAAATCTTCCTAAAATTGATTATATATTTCCCGGGTTCCTTACTAAGCACTTTCCAAACAGCATCTGACTTTTCTTAAGGACTCAAGGCTTCATTACAAACATATAATCTCAAAATACATAAGCTCAAAATACTTTACCTATTTTAAAAGGAGGCAATGGCATTAAGTGAATTAGTAAAGTTACCCAGTGGAATTGAAAGAAGTTCTTATAATCTGCCTTTATTGGGCATTCCTTTATTATGACATACTGTCTGGCACTGGACTCTAATATGTGAATCTTTAAAAAACAAACAAACTTTTTTTAGAGATTTTTTTTTTTTATTGGAAAGGCAGATATATAGAGAGGAGGAGAGACAGAAAGGAAGATCTTCCGTCCAATGGTTCACTCCCCAAGTGAGCGCAGCTGCAACGGCTGGAGCTGAGCCCATTTGAAGCCAGGAACCAGGAGCCTCCTCCAGGTCTCCCACATGGGTGCAGGGTCTCAAAGCTTTGGGCCTTCCTCCACTGTCTTCCCAGGCCACAAGCAGAGAGCTGGACAGGAAGCAGGGCTGCCTGGACTAGAACTGGCGCCCACATGGGATCCCAGCACGTTCAAGGCAAGGACTTTAACCATTACGCCATTGTGCCAGGCCCTACGTGAATGTCTTTCAAGGGTGCCATACTTAATGGCAACATTGTTTTTGTTATTTTTTCATAGCTTTTTTTTTTTTTTTAAACTTCTTCATACAGCTCTTCTTTCTTCTAATCAGGGTACCTATTTCTAATCACATTCGTCTCTACTACTAACATGAACATTAAGTTTACTGGGTTTAAGTACCAGTATGGCTTTTAAAACCTTGCTAGAATAGCGTCCAAGAAGCTTCTTATACCAAGAAGCTCTGGTATAAGCCATTTACTCAAGTGTTTGGGCTTGGAGATATCTATTTGGAATGCATAGTGGCAGGAGATTTTTGGATTTACTTAGCATTATTAACCCTGTTTTCAATAAAGAGAAAGTAACAAGTACCTATACCATCCCAGTGTTAAATCTGTGCTATATCTCATTCATACAAATATATAACTTTCTATAAACTATAAACTAAATGTTTAATAATAATCACCTTAACTGCCTGTGTGCCAAGTATTCTAATAGCATTTTTTGGAGAATCTCATCTTTTTCTCAAATCAATATAAACTGCAAGGTATAATTATTTCCTTTTGATGGAAAAACTAAATAATAATTATTTTAATTCTGGTAAAAAATTAAAGTGCTGGGATCCTTACTCTGGGCCCTTTTCTTTTCCTCTAGATAACAAAATTTAGCACAATTTAAAAAAATTACCAATTGTGGAAGAAATATAGTATATTGAAGATGAACCAGTGTGAATATCAAATCTTCTGCAGTAGGCAATCAGTAGGCCTAAAAAAAAAGATACTCTTTAATTTTCTTAGAACAACAGCAATATAAATTCAACTGTTAAAACTATCGTAACAGTACATGTTGCACTGTATTTAACATACATTTTTGCATTAGCAGAACATTAAAGTATTGTGAATGTTTTTAGCTTCATGCCATATTTAAAATATTTCCCCAATATTTCACTGAAAAAAGCTTTTACACAGCCAAGGGAACAACTGGTAGGGTAAAGAGACGATTTACAGAATGGAAGAGAATATCCGCAAACCAGGCATCTAGTAAGAATGTATATATCTAATGCATATATGTGTAATACATATACATATATACATATGTATGTATATATATAAAATACCTAAAAAAAACCTGAACACAAAATGGAAAAGGGCTCCGAGTAAAATTTGTTAAGACACACAAATGGTCAACAGGTATAAGAGAAAATGCTTTAAAACACCAATCATCAGAGAAATGAAAACAAAACTTACAGTACTGTATCAACTAATGTCTGTTAGCATGTCTATTACAAAAAGTATGACTGATTACATGTATTGGAGAGGCTGGAGAGAAAAAGGAACTCTGAACCACTGCTGGCAGAAATGTATATTACTCATTGCAGTTAGTCAAAGGAGCCAGCATATGGAGGCACCTAAGTGTTCAGCCACGAAAGAACAAACGAAACGTCATATACAACAAAATGGAATATTATTCAGCCTTAAAAAGAAGAAAATCCTGCCATGGAAAACACTGAAGTTTATGTGTTTACCCTAATATTCTGAAACAAACTGTCTGGAATGAAATGTAAAAAAACTTCTAGTAATTTGGAGTTTTATTAATAAAAAGAGCTTAAATAATAATACATGCTCTCATTTATAAACATGCAAGTTCAGAGAAACTCATTACTTCATATCTATTTCTTATTAAAAAATTGTCAAACCTCTCCAAAGAAGAAATCTCAGACTAACACAATAGGAATGCTATTTAGCCACCTAAAAATCAAAAAATGTTTACTGGTAGATTGCATTTGTTTTGTCTCTATATAATTAACAAAATACGTTTCCTGTTAGTTTTCTACTTTGAAGCTTTAATCACATTTCCATACATTAAAAAAAAATGTTTTCTCTTTTGCAAGCTAGAACTTACTTCTTAGGATTAAGTCATGTATTGGCAATAACTCTGTTCTTGAGAGAAATATGTGAAATTGAAGAATGTAACATTTATATATTCTTGTTATCAATTCTACAAAAAGCAGATACAAGATACAAGATCTTGTCTAGCACTCAGTGTAGAACAGGATGAGTTTAGAGAAGTTCAAGGAATTTCATAGAGTACTTGGTCAACTGTGAGTAGAGATTCACTGAATAAGTAAGTTGCCAATACTGGATTTTGCCGTGCTAACTCACAAGGCAGGACCACCAGCTTCTCTATTGTATTTGCTACTGTGTAAACAGAATGGTTCTTTCAGACAAGCCAGTACTCTTCAACCATCTTCAGAGAGTGCACAGTGAGTTTGTGAGATAAGTGAAGGATAAACTCAGCTGGTGAAGAAATACTGTTAGTTACTTCTAAACACATTATCACTGGGCTTGGGTTCAATGTATTCTGTAGACAGACCATTGCGGAAAACAGGTGGAATGTCAGTAACTGTCAATCAAGACATGCAAAGGAGAAGGTGACCAATCCTACTGTGAACTCTGTCTTTTTGTTTTATGAAATACTACAAGATGGTGTTCTATTTCACTATCCTTTGATCATGACCTGGTCTAGTATCCTAAAACCACTTTCCCAGAAACATAACCATTATGTTAAGAAAGAAGTAATAATTATCTGGTATGATTATGTTCAACTTTTCAAAAGGGTCACAAAATATACTTTTGTTGGAAAGAAGGCTATACTGACCACAGCTGTTTCCTCTTAAGATGGTTTTTGAGTCATAGACAGACTGTAGCATTTATGCTTTGTCTTCTTCTCTTCAAAATATTTTTTCCTATCTTTTTCACTGGTTCCAACTTTAGAGATGGCCAGAAACATCTGATAATTCAGGGGTGATTTTTAACAGATCTTATACACATGATAATTCGAAAAAATCAGTCTACTTTTACCAATAGTGTTGCAATTGCTTACCTGGCACAATAATGTCTCCAAAACCCAATATTGAAACAGGCATGAGGCACACACTCATTACTGAGAAAGAGATTAGCTTTGGTACCCTGATGACTACTGGTAACTATAAAAAAAAAAGGGGGGGGGAGGGGGGAAGAGAGAAAGAAAAAAAGAAAGGCCACCAATAAACCTCTTGGCAATCTTTCTTTTACAAAGGAAGGATTGACATTAGAATAAAATTCAATATTTTAAAGAATGAAAAATCAAAACTAGGCAAACACATAGAAACAAGCTGTGCAGAAAGCATCAAAGAAAGATAATGCAGGTTTTGGAAAAATGAACCCAACACACACGCAGGATTAACAGTGTTAATCTGCTATACCCACACATGGGATTTCTTTTTTTTCCTTTTTTTTTTTTTACCAAGTATAGGACACAGGTCTTGAAACAGACTCTTTTTGGTAATCTGATTTTTCCCCCAAAGAAGAATCTGAGAGGGTATGATTTATAGTCCAATGAACATATCTGAAACACAATCCTTACTTTCTCATGGGGAGCTGAGGGTTGAGCAGTGGCTTCCACAAAGTTTCCATCATTCTAGGATGAAACCCAAGTCAATAGGTATTTAATAATTTAGAATAACTAATAAAAGGGCTATTTTTTTGAGAAATAAGTTTTGTAATACCTTAACATGCACAACATGAGCAATGAATTACAAAGAAAGACAAAATTACAAACTGGACACACACATACACTGACTAGCCAATTCTATTTAACTGTAATCCCTACCTTCTCATTATTTCCAAATGGGCCAGCGGCGACTTCAATCATAATACTCTCACCATTCTAAATTAAGAAAGAAAATGAAAGAAGCTGTCCAGTTATGTAAAGACAAAATCTACCCCTAGTCAAGAATGATTAAAATTCCATGGTTTATGATCTATTGGAACCTGAAAAATTAACCGTAGACTGTTTCCCCACCTCCCAGAGATAGTGCCTGTAGATAATAAAAATTGAAGTAAGCTAAAATAAAATTCACGCAGTATACTTTTCCACTTAATCAGAGTTCAGTAATTTTAAGAAACTGACAAAGCATTCATGGAATATTCAAGCAAACCTTGAGCTCTGATATGCACTGAAAAATTAATATATAACCTTTGTTGGGCCCGGCAAGATAGTGTAGTGGTTAAGGTCCTCCTCGCCTTGCACACACCAGGATCCCATGTGGGCGCCAGTTCTAGTCCCGGCAGCCCTGCTTCCTGTCCAGCTCTCTGCTTGTGGCCTGGGAAGGCAGTGGAGGACGGCCCAAAGCCTTGGGACCCTGCACCCGTGTGGGAGACCTGGAAGAAGCTCCGGGCTCCTGGCTTCAGATGGGCTCAGCTCCAGTTGTTGCAGCCGCTCACTTGGGGAGTAAACCATTGGACGGAAGATCTTCCTTTCTGTCTCTCCTCCTCTCTATATATCCACCTTTCCAATAAAAAAATAAATCATTAAGAAATTAATATATAACCTTTGTAATGGGTTATGCATTTTAAGTATCTTCATTTATGTCATTAACTATGCTTCTGGATAACTTCCAGCAGTATCAAAGAAAGGGAACACACTGAGTTCTTTTAAATTTAGCTTTGTAACAAATACAGGTAACTTTAATGGAATAAAATATAACTCTGACCCTCTAGCTACTATCACAGTAACAGAACAATGAAGCCAAACTTGAAAAAACCCTCTAAAACCTGAGAAGCTTTGCTATCCTAACTCCTGACCAATTTTAGCCCTTCCTGCTTCTTGGTTCCAATTAAAACAACCTTAGCTAAATTACACGCCCTTGTGTCTGACTAAAAGTTTTCATTCTTTCTTTCTTTTGGGGGATGAGCTACAGATTATTGAAAAGTTTCTTCTTGATAACAGAATCCACTGTGGAGTAGGAAAACATGTTAAGGTAGCAAGTTAAGACTGCATGAAGTATCCCCTCCATGTTTCATTTTATGACAAAGCAGTAATCAGGTAGAGAGGAGAAAAAATGTTCAATTTTCGGAAAATCTGATTAACTGTACTATTTTCCATGTGGGTGGGGTGCACAGGAGAAATCACTTGAATGTTTTTAAAAGGGCCTTCCTGACATTTGAGCTGAAAGGATAAAAATCCCTAACTATAAAAATCTTTTCCTTACGTTAAGTGTTGGATTACAGAAGAGTTAAGCCAGAGGAGTTATAAACTAATACAAAATACAGCTTCTTCTATGTCAGGTTACACTTAAATAGCGGAATGATGAACTTAAGACTTAAGTTCATGAAGGACTATACCTTGTAATAACAAAGGGGAAATCAGTCAGGAGGAGGGGACTTGGGGACAAGAGAGGGGAATTCCCAGAGACTATGTAACTGTACCATAAAAGAAGAATACAACTCCTTAAAGACGATTTTTGCAAGCTGTAATGAAATTTCTAGATAACAGTTCATTTTCTAATTGTTATTGCAAGCATTCAACTCAAGATCATCACTGACATCTCTCCCACCCCTGACACATGTAAAGGCACATGAGTAACTACTACAACTACTAAGATACCATACTGGGGAGGGCAGAGGTAAATGAAAAACGAATGAGCAAGACAGGCTATTACTGACAAACTCCTAGGGCCACCCACCCTGCTAACTTACTCAAAGTCCACTAATTCCTGGGTCAAAAACATGTTTAGAACATGCAATGTTTAATCATTCAAATTTACAGTGAATTTCAAAAAATCAACAATTAAATATTTGATTTTTATGTTGAGTTATCAACTAGAATGAGTCTATAGCCTTAACAAATAGAAACCAACCAAACTGAGATGGCATACAGTGAATTCAAAAGAGCACAGATTATCAACATTGCTAGAAATCTCATTCATAATTAGTAGGAACTATGATGGAAGAAAGAAGAAAAACTTCCTATGCACAGAAGAAAAAAGGGCTAACAATAACCTCTATTACTATTTCATACCTTTAAGTTTCTGATCATTTCAGGTGTTAGGGAAAGAGTCATTTGTAGGGTGCAAAGCTGTGAACTAGCGGCTAAAGTCCCCATCTTACACATGCCCAGATCCCATATGGGCGCCAGTTCTAATCCCCACAGCCCTACTTCCCATCTGGCTCCCTGCTTGTGGCTTGGGAAAGCAGTTGAAGACAGCCCAAAGCCTTGGGACCCTGCACCCTCGTGGGATACCCGGAAGAGGCTCTGAGCTCCTGGCTTTGGATCAGTGCAGCACCAGCCACTGTAGTCACTTGGGGAGTGAATGAATGGATGGAAGCTCTTCCTCTCTGTCTCTCCTCTCTATATATCTGACTTTCCAATAATAAATAAATAAACAAATCTTTAAAAAAGGTCTTTTGTAGACAAATACATGACTCACATTTAGAAAACTACATTCGTGTTATAATGAAACAGCTATTTTTAAAAAACATTTTATATGTAGGGGCATGCATGGTGGCTTAGCTGGCTAATCCTTCCTCTTCAAATGTCAGCATCCCATAATGGGCACCAGTTCGTGTCCCAGCTGTTCTACTTCCCATCCAGCTCCCTGCTTATGGCTTGTGGAAGCAGCAGAGGATGGCCCGATGCCTTGGAAGACCTGGAAGAGGTTCCTGCTTCCTGGTTTCAGATTGGCTCAGCTCTTGTCATTGTGCCATCTGGGGAGTGAACCAGCACATAAAAGAACTCTCTCTGTACCTCCTTCTTTCTGTGAATCTGCCTTTCCAATAAAAATTTGGAAAGAATTAAAAAAAAATCATGTAGATATTTACAGTGATTTCATAGGTAGGGTATCTAAAGAATGGATGAAGAATGAACTGGAAGAAAAGTAACGAACATCAAACAGTAAACATTTGCAAGTAAAAAAAAAGGAGACATTACAGTTTCAAAGCAAGACTCGAAATAAAATGGAGGAAAGTTGAAGCATTAAGCACTAATCAGTGATGCAATCATGAGACAGTAAAAAGGTTCAAATAGAAAATTGGGCAAATAACAAGCGAATACATATTATACTCAACCAACTCCTGCACTTTACTGAGGAGCTAGAGGCAGAGTTGAGTATACACCCTGATTCTAACTGCACAGAAAACATCTGAGGGAAGGAATGGCCAGGGTGAGGAGGGAAGGCATATGTACCTGAGCTGAGTGTTCTCTGAGGCCAGCTCCATCTTGTCCTCTACATACCATGTGGATGCATGTGCCTCTTTTACTATGAAGCTGAGGTTGGTTCTGTTAGTTAGGGATCTCTGCTCCTGGTCAGCAGGGTGGAAAGCTTAGTAAAGTTACTCTCACACAGTGGATTAGGAAACTGAGGAAGAAGGGACCATGAGATTACAGAGTTATACTTCCTATGTGTTTCTCTTCTTCAGTTTCAAACTAGGGCTTCAGAAATCAGAGGCAATGACACATTTTTTTTCTTTTCTATACATTCTATAGTGCAGTTTGACTTTTTTACAAGTAAAATTTTATAAGTAAAATTTTAAAAGGGAAGAAAAATTACACATGCTCGTACCAGGATGATGTAAGAGAGTAGTTAGCAAGGACGAGCTAAGGTCACCGGTCCCCCCCTGGAACTCTACCTGCACTGGTCGCCACCCCTGGCAACAGAAACAAAAGGTGCTGTCCCCACCTTCCTGTGTCATAGAAAACTGCAGCTTCTGCGGGTTCATCACTTAGAACCAGGGCCACCCAAAATAACCATAACAGCTGCTGGCTTGACTTCACAATAACCTTTAGCTTATTATAAGGCCATTATAAAATTAACATGGCCAGCACATCTAATTCCATTACACACCAGATGTGATAACACTATAAATTCTCCAAAACAGGACAAGGAAATGGGTGGTATTCAAACCTGTGCCCCTTATTAATATTCAATTAACCCCAGACTCCACCCTCTCTGTCACAGAAAGGGAGCATTTAAACCCAAAGGAACGTAGCTTTCTTTTAAGGATGTCCGTACTCCCTAAGTGTGTACTTTCATTTCACGTGCAAATAAATCTTGCTTTTGCCCTGACATTTACCTATGCCTCATCCTCAAATACCTTCTTGACCCAGCCTCTTTATTACATCTGGCAAATCATCTAGGAGAAAAGGAGTTCGAGGTCCACTCCGACGTTGGCCAGTGAGTTTTTCTCCTGACTCGCCCTCACTTGTACTTCAAATTAAAGGTCTTAGTTTCATTCTTCCTTCCTTTCCTTTACTCTGTTCCAACCTACTATGAATGAACTTTTCCCAGTCCAATCATATTTGCTCCCTTCAGTGACTGTTGAAGGTCAGAAGCCTGCCAGCTGACACCACGTAGGCTAGATAGGCATTTGAATCCTTTGTGAAGAGTTTCTAAACGTGCCAGGGACTTGCTCCAGAGCTGTGCAGTTCCTGGAGCAGCTTGTTTCTACTGGCTTCAGGATATGGCTTTCTGTAGTGTCTCTCCTCCCTTATGATCATGTCTTCTGAGGTTCCTTTGGTCCCTTCAAGGTAAGTATCAATTGTATTTTACTACCCTAGCCAGTAAGGTGTTGGTCCCATGCAGTAAGCTTCTGCCTATGCAAGGACAGTAAATGCTGTCATCCTCTGACCCCTGAGGATCCCTGATGTCTGTGGAAAATCCTTTGGCACTTGACCACCCACCACCCTCACTTTCCTGGCTATAATACACACAAGGCCTCCATATTCTCGAAAATTTTTCCATACACTTCAAGAGAACCCGCTCCCTCTCTTCAATTGGCAACTTTCAGGATTATTTTAACAGTCTTTCCAAACTGCTACAGGCTGGAACTGAAGAGCCAAACACGTGTGCTCTTTGTAGCAAGTCTGGCTCAAGATCTCAAGTTGGATACCTCTCTCCCTTGATGGAAAGCCCCAGAGGCCACAGATGCCTGGGTGAATTGGAGTCTGAGAATGTCCCAGCACCATGGTTTGCATCTGAATTTGGGATGTCATGTTGGAATTCGTCCACAAGGAGCATCCTGGGGACACAGAAAATTGGTCAAGATCATGGGACACTAGACCCAGCCTGCTCCACTGAGAGGGCTCTTGAATAGCTATGATCCGTTCTGTCCCCAATCTTGCTTTTTCTCTCTGTAAGGTCATCAACAGGCTTTTTCAGCCACTCATAACCTCCAGTCTATTCCCATAGACTCACTCCTGGGCTGCCTTTGACATTAGAAAACTCTTAGACCACATACCCTGAGCAAGAAAAAGGCTATATTCTTATGCAACACTGTCTGGCCAAAGCATATGCTCAACAATGGAGACACCTGGCAACCAAACCTTCAATTCAACTTTTTCTTTTCTTTTTTTTGTATTCTTATTGTTACTATTATTTTCCATGATACAATTTTGTAGGTATAGAGACTCCTCCTTCTACCTTCTCTAACTCCTCCCCATTCTCCCCACAGTTCCCCCATACTATTACAACAGTATAGTCCTTCAGCAACAGCCACAAGCCCAACATTCTGCTGTCTAAGTGTATCTTGGCATTGTATGTATTGGCAACAATAGAAAATCTAGTGTCATATTGTCAAGATATATTTAACAGTTTCATTGGGAGTCCTCCTTTTATTTGGGAGTAGAGACGCATATTGCAATGCATCTTCACTTTTTGATATTCTAGTCTCCATTACACAGCTCATCTATGAGACTAAATGCAAATATATGTTTACGCATATATCTATTTGTTTTATATTTTACATGAATGTTGCCTTATATCAGAGAGAACATATCATATTTGTCCTTTGGGACTGGCTTATTTCATGGAGCATAATGATCTCCAGTTGAAACAATTTTATCCCTCAACTCAAACACTGTCTTCCAACTTGATTTCTGCTGTAAGAGAAAACAAAATGGCCATAAACTCTCCAGGTTCAGCCTTTCATGGCATTCCTCCGAAACCCCACCCCAGGTGGAGCTGTAGGCTCTGTTATGCTCATATCCTTGTGGAGACCCACAATCGAAAAGATTGCAGATCTGTATGCTGGATGACCTGTTATTGAGTAGTCCTCTGTCCACAGGTCAACTACCTCAAACTCAGCTTGTCCTATCACCAGAACCATCCACAGTGCAGCTGAGTCCTCCCTGCCACTATTCATCAAACTTTGCTTTTGTTCACTTCCTTTTAGCCCACTGTCCATACCCTAAAATCCTATCAGTCCCCCTTTCCTGGAGGATAGCTCAGATGAAATCACACACAGAATGTAAAGCCAGATACATTCAGGTATGAGCAAGCTATGTTCTTTGAGAGCGGCTAACAGATATGCTGGGAGAATTAGAGTACATGTTCCATTTTTCAATGACTTAAAGTCAACACAGACAATAGTTAGCAAGGTTTTTAGAAGACTCTATCAAATTAAGGAATTTCAGGCTCTAACCCTTTAACTTGACCTGGGATGACAAACATTTTATCCCGCCCACTTATTGTGCCCCTGAAGAAACAGTGAATCTGGAACAAGGCCTAAGCTTACTATGACTCCCTCGCAGTATAAGAACTCAACCAATTCGCGATGGGAGTCATGGCAGTCCCAGAAACAGGCGATAATTTAAAGAAAGGATCATAAGGGGGCTGCAGGGACGGCATTCCAGATGAATGTAGGTTCAAATTCCAACTGCTTCATTTTTGATCTGGGAGAGCAGTGGAGGAGGATGGCTCGAGCCGGTTCTAACCCCAGCAGCTCCACTTCCTGTCCAGCTCCCGGCTTGTGGCCTGGGAAAACAGTAGAGGATGGCTCAAAGCCTTGGAACCTTGCACCTATGTGGGAGACCTGGAAGAGCTCCTGGCTCCTAGATTTGGACTGGTGCAGCTCTGGCCATTGCAGCTCCTTGGATGGATGGAAGATCTTCCTCTTTGCCTCTCCTCCTCTCTGTATAACTGCCTTTCCAATTAAAATAAAACATGTTTCTTTGCATTCCCCAGCTAAAGTGGTCCCAGACAACCTACCAGTCACAGATTACCTATTAGACAAACAGGGTGGAATAGTACAGTGATTAATAAAATCTGCTGCAGCTAACATTAATAACAATAGACTCATGGAAAAAGATATCAAAAGGATTTATCAAGCCAAGTAGTTCCATGATTTTGGCAGGGGAAGCTACTCAGTTTCCATCATCCTGTAACCAGAACAAACCAAAATAGTTGTTACTCCAGCTCCTATTGGTCCATGTATACACATCCTAATTTTAAATTCTTATTTTTTCTAAAAGAATTCAACATTTTCAAACAAATGTGCAAAAATGATTCACTTGCAGGGATTTTAGCCATTACAAACAAGTAGGTAAACCTTCAGATCAGTTAACAAAGGATTTTCACGTCCTGGCTAGGCAAGAACAATGCCCCGACACAGCATGAAGAAGTTATAGAAAATGGACCTTCCTCTTTAGATCTTCCACAAAGGTGAAGGGATGAAAATCTCTGAGCTGGGAAATGATGACATAGGCAGGAAAGCAGAGCTGAGGTCTTCAACACCTCTCTGCAATCCCTCCCACACCATTCAACTCCCAGATTCCTGCCACTTCCCTGCAATGGAAAACCACAGTTTCCATAGTTTCACTATAAAGTTATTATAATAAAATTATCATATTCTTTTGTGCTGGCCTTTTGTCTCTCTTCCTCAAATTCCTTCTTGTTTGGAAGACAACAATCTGGACCCAGACACCCCTAAACAAGAAAACATTTTGCGGGCGAGTACTATGGCGTACTGTGCTAAGCCTCTGCCTGGGGCACACCAGTATCCCTTGAGGGTACTGGTTTGAGTCCCAACTGCTTCTGTTGCAAGCCATCTCCTTGCTAATGTGTCTGAGAAAGCAGCAGAAAATGGCTCAAGCCTTTGGGCTCCTGTGCCCACTTGGGAGACACAGAAAAAACTCCTGGCTCTTAGCTTCAAATCGTTTCAGCTCTCGCTGCTGTGGCCATTTGTGTAATGAACCAGTAGATTGAAGATCCCCTTTCTTTATCCCTCTTTTCTCTGTGAAATGTGCCTTTTAAATAAAAATAAAGTAAATCTTAAAAAACAAAGACTATCTGAAAATGTAACAAAACAAAGGCTTGAATACACCCTCCATTGAGAGGCTGGTTCCAAAGAATGGTAAGTCTGTTAACAGAAATTCAATTGTGAATACAAAGTCAATCATCTAACAGCAGGATTGAGATTACCATCTTTAAGCATGTTTCTTCCTGGATTTTAAAAGTATAGTCATACCTTTGTGATGAATGGTGTTATGAAAACAAAAAATACATCATAGAGGAGGAGAAGGCCGAGAAGTATCACACATGACTGTTGAAAAAACACACGTTTAAAAGTGAAACTTTCACACCAAAATGTAAGGGAATAAACTATGTTGCAAATACAAGCAAACATCCATTTGATTATTATTTTAAAATAGTGTATTATAAAATTTAAATTTTTAAAAATAGTTCACTACGTGTAGCTTTATCCTATAAGCCACATTAAAATACTTATCTTTTTCATCATATCTGTTTAAAAAAAATCACTGAATGAAAGAAATGTTCCGCTCTGATAAACAGTCCGATTGAAAAACCACTGAATGAAATGTTCTGCTCTGATAAACAGTCCCATTGAGATTTTTTGAACCTGGTACACTACATGAATGATTCAAACCATTTTCGCTGGTAAATCCATGGTTGTGTGGGTCACTGGGTTAGGGCTGATTGCAAAAGGGCACGACAGAGCTTTTTCAAGAGGTGAGAAACATCCACAATCTCATTGGAATGGTGGTTACAAACCAAGCTATACATATGTAAAATTTGATATTTCCTTTTTATTCTTTATTCTGTTTTCTTTTTTTTTTTTTTTTTTAATGTGAATGGTTACTAACAGTGGAGATGAAGACAAAAAAAAAAATCTTCCATCACTGGTTCATTCCCCAAATGGTTTCACTGGCCAGGGTTGGGCCCGGTCAAAGCCAGGAGCCTGGAACTCCACCTGGGTCTCCCAACACCTGTGGCAGGGGCCCATTAGTTGGGCCAGCTTCCACTGTTGGACTGTAGAATTGAAAACAAAATGGAATAAACTACTAAGAAACTGTGAGCTTGCAGGCCAAATGGCCTATGGTGACCTTTAGCACCGATGAGCCCCAATTCTCTTCAATCAAGGCTCAAGACTGGTTATCTCACAGGTGGCTCCAAGTAATTAAGTGGGTGGTTACCTTAATTGCCGCAGGAGAGAAGAGCCAGACATGGGCTGTCCAGCCCAGATAGGTAGGGAATGTGTGGTATTTCCCCCCTCACCTTGAAGACTATTGTGGATTGCCTCTATAAAAACGCTGTGAATGTGCTGCTTGGGCCACACTCCAGTATGGGGTGCTGATCCTGGCTGGCTGGTCGGTCAGTCAGTTGGTTGCCTTGCCTCTAACTTATAACAAGACTTTCTTGTGACTGTCACTGATGAATATAACATTCTGTTTCACTGGTCGAGTGGATGCAACAGGATGAGAAGCAGAGCTGTTAGCACTTGAACTGTTGCTCACATGGCATGGTGGCATCACAGGCAGCAGGTTAACCCACAAGGTGACAACACCAGCCCAAGCAGTACATTTAAAACGGGTGCATTTCAGGGCCAGTGTTGCAGAACAGAGGGTAAAGCCTGAGATGCCAGCATCCCTATAGGCACTGGTTCTGGTTCATGTCCGGCTCCACTTCCAATCGAGTCCCCCGGCTAAAGGATGAGAAAGCAGAGGAGGCCCTAATGTTTGGGTCCATGCCACCACAAATGGGGGAAACCTGGATGTAGCTCTTGGCTCCTGGCTTTGGCCTGGGCCAGCACTGTTATGGCCATCTAGGGACTGAACTAGCAGATGAAGATCTCTCTCTCAGATTCTCTCTCTCTCTCTGTGACTCTGATTTTCAAATAAATAAAGCAATATTTTTAAAGAGTACATTCTAAGACCCGGTGTGGTAGCCTAGCAGATAAGGTCCTTGCCTTGCATGCACTGGGATCCCTATGGGCGCCAGTTCTAATCCTGGCAGCTTTGTTTCTGCATCTAGCTCCCTGCTTGTGGTCTGGGAAAGCAGTCAAGGATGGCCCAAAGCCTTGGGACCCTGCACCCGCCTGGGAGACTGAGAGGAGGCTCATGGTTCCTGGCTTTGTATTGGTTCAGCTCTGGCCATTGCAGTCACTTAGGGAGTGAACCAATGGACGGAAGATTTTCCTTTCTGTCCCCAACTCTCTGTATATATGCCTTTCCAACAAAAATAAATCTAAAAAAAAAAAAAAAGAGTACATGCTATTGTGTGTACATTATACCTTAATAAAGATATTTTAAAAAGAAAAAGTTACTGGGGTTGGTGCAATGGCTCAACTGGCTAATCCTCCATCCTCAAGTGCCAGCATCCTGTAAGGTCACCAGTTTTAGTCACAGCTGCTCCACTTCTGATCCAGCTCCCTGATTATGGCCTGGGAAAGCAGCAGAGGACAGCCAAAAGCCTTGAGATCCTGCACCCGAGTGGGAGACCAGAAAAAACTACTGGTTTCAGACAGGCTCAGCTTTGGTCACTGAGGCCACTTGGGGTGTGAACCAGTGGATGGAAGACCTTTCTGTCTTTCCTTCTCTCTGTAAATATGTCTTTCCAATACAAATAAATCTTAAAAAAAAATTATTTTAGTCAGTAAAACAGTATACTTTACCTTGAAGTTAGGTAACTTCAGTGTTTTAATTAAATTCAGACAGAATGCAATGCCCAAGATATCTTGTAAAATCCAAGCCCACCTAAAATCAAAAGATATATCAACTGTTTTATCCAGATATTTTTAGAGGAAACTCTTCAAAATAAAAAGATCACTGAAGCAATGCTATCCAATTCTATAATTTATTCATTTATTAAATAGCAATTATAACTCATTCTCGATATTTACTAATTTACTGTCCTAGTAGAATAAAGAATATTATCAAACTAAGAAAAAGTTAAACAGCTATTTCAGAAGAGCATGTAACAGACATGGGTGCATATTTGTTGTTAATGTTTAAATTTACAGCTATGTCTTTTCTTAGAGAGGTAGCTGTTAATAAAGGACAGCAATGTGAATACATAGACAGCTTTAACATGAAGGAAACAGCACTATGCAACATAATCAGAAACTGACATATACAAATATCAATTCATTATCTTGCCTTAAAGCTGCCTAAAGTGTACAAATTTTATTTTTATAATTTTAGGTCATTAAATCTTTGTAATCTTTAATTTATTTACCAAACCATTAAATAAACCTAAGCATAAGTTTTCCCTGGCTATATTTTCTGTAAAAGGACAGATACCTTCCATATCCCCTCTTTCTGCAAACAGATGCCTTATACATTCCCTTATAATTTATGTGAAAGATCACAAACTATGTATTCTTTTGTACTCTGCTTCCTTTCACTCAGAAACACACATTGGAAATCATACTGTCAATTGGCTGAGATCTTCCCCATCCTTAGAACCGTGTTATACCACACTGTGTGGCTACTGAGGATATTTTTAAGTACAGGTATTTAAATCATAATTCATACTCCCTTCTCCATTCTCTGAGCTCAAATCCATTAGCATAAGATGCATGCGTAGATTAGGGCAGCAATTCAGGACAAAGGCCACTCGCCATGCCATTGTATACTGAGGTGCCATGAGTCCTGACTCTGTCCCCCATCCAAGCTTCCATGAGAGGCAGCAGGCCTTGACCCATTTGAAGATCTGAACTGAGTTCCGAGCTCCTGGCTTCAACTTAGACTAGCACTGGCTGTTATAGGCATTTGGGGAATGAACCAGTGAAGAGGAGCTGTTTACCTTTCAAACAAACAAACAAATATATAGAAAAACAAAACAAGCGGTTTATCTCATGATGTGGATAATAGCAAAAAAATTACATAATAATGGTTATGAGTAAATATCATGTATCAAGGCAAGATATTAAATAATCCCATATTAATCTACAATGAAAATATATTGAGTATTCATACCTATCTTCATTTCGAAATACAGCCCAAACCACAACTACTGCTATGCACAGGGCAGCAAGAAAAATAAGTCTCACTTCAGTGCTTCTGTCACGACATACAATCCTAAAACAGATCGGGAGAGTTGTGTTTATGCTGTAGATGAAATGCAATGATTATTTGATATAGGAAGGGCAAACATTAATAAACCCAGACACAAAAAGTGTCTGAAATTCCAATTTTAAAGTCTTGGTTTTAACTAAAACAAATGAGATATAACAGCATGTGTAGCACTCTATTATAAGAAGTTTCTGTGATGATGAAATGTTCTGCCTCTGTGCTAACATGGGAGCCGCGAGCCACGCAAGGCTTTCATAAGCCATGTTTCACTAGGGAACTGTTTCACTAGTTACACTAGGGAACTGAGATTTGGTTTACCTTTTTTTTTAAACTTCAATTAATCTAAACAACCATACATTCAATATACATTAGACTGTATAGGCTTAAAATAGTGCTCCTATGTGAGTGTTCAGCTTAGTGATGAAGATGCTCTCATTTCACATCCCAATCCCTGGGCAGGACTGCAGCTCAGACCCTGAAAAGCACCAGTGGTCCAGGCTCCCGGCCTCGGAACCCACCCAGCCCCAGCAGCTGCAGGCATTGGGGGGCCAACCAGCAGTAGGGAGTTCTCTCTTTCTCTTTGCCTCTCACAATTTTTTTCAATTAACACACCATTCTCACTTTCCCCTGCCTTGTTTTAAATAACAAACATTGGATTTCAAGGCCCTCTTTCCCCCGCCCCCGCAAAAGTTACATACCTGCATTGTCCATATGGGATCTTACGAATCAGGGCAGCAAGGCAGTTGTACAAACTCATTGCTGATGCTATGCAGAAAATTGCTATCATAACATAAACTAAGGGAAAAAAGATAGTGATATATGAGAATAGAAATTCATAAGAATATATTTATTAAGCAATAATAAATTAAGCAATATTAACTCTTCCATTTTCTTTACCATATTAAAATATTTGTAATGATTTACTTTTTACCTAAATTAGTTACTAGGCTGAAAATGTTTAGATCTGAGTTTCAAGAGGGTTTTCATTTCATTATATACTAGTAGAACTGTTAAAGAGATTGAAACTAGTTCTAGCTAGTTCTGTATTTTTCTATAACATTCAATGATTAAAATAGCCATGTTTGTAAAAAATTCCTATAAAAAGACTAACAGATAATTGTGAATATTGAAATTAAATGTAAAAGAATGAAGAATTAACATATAATTGAGAAACACCTTAAAAATGCAACTTTTTAAAAGGTGGTGGTGCTGACATAGTATGGTAAGCTTCTGCCTGGAATCCTACCATCAAATATGAGTGCCAGTTCAAGTCCCAGCTGCTCCAGTTCTAAGCCAGCTCCTTCCTTTTGGCCTAGCAAGGCAGCAGAGGATGGCTCAGTCCAGCCATGGCAGCCATTTGGGGAGTGAATCAGCTGAACAAACATTAATCTCTCTTTCTCTCTTCTTTCTGTAACTCTGCCTTTCACATAAAAATAAAATCTTTTTTTTAAAATGTAATTTAGGGATGTAAATAACACCTTCAATACCCATGTTTTCCCACGGGGGACTTATCAGTAATGCTGACATTTGGTAAAAAAACAAAATACCCATTTAAACAAACTTCATTATTACAATATATTAAGGTTATTAAAAAATGCTTTTTAAAAATATTATCCATGTTTACTTGAGATTAAAATGGAAAACATTCGACTTGTCTGTTGTTAATGAGGAAAGGGACATTGTATTTTAACAAAGAATACTCCCTCCCTGAAATCCCTCAAAAATCTCATCATGAAAATACAAATTCTACTTGAATTTTTCAAATTCCACTTAATTAATAAAAAAAAAGCACAGTCCTGCACTGTAGGTATCAGAGATATTAACTTAGTCACAGTAAATCAGTGATAGCCACTTCCTGAATAATAACTTTGGATAAACTACTTTTTTAGTTCTTCAGTACTCATGTCTAAAATGCTAAAAAGACTGCCACAATGACTTTGACAAACTGAGTAACATTCATCTCAGGCTTCTCATGAGGCTTGCGTAAGTATATGAGTGTATGCCGAATGCTTACTGAGAACAGCAGCCGGTACACTATAAGCTCTTTATGTGCTCTATGTGTTGCTTTGATTGCCAGTTATATATGGTAACATGAACAGTGAGTCAAATTCTTAGAAAATGCCAAAGTGATTTTGGTAAGTTAAATGCTGAGTTGTCTATCCCAGATTTTTAGAACACTGCTGGGAATCATGCTTCTTATGGCCCTAGTAGAATTTTAGGTGTCTCATTCAATGTCATACTGTATCTAAGAAAATGACTGCACATGGGATACAATTTGTTAACAGAATATTCTCAATTACTTCCTTAAGTGTACTTTTTCACAGAATGGTATACAAGAATCTCAGTAACCCAGTACAACCTCTTAATTTAACATATTAGGAAATGGCAGCAATTTTAGCTGAAAGGAACCACTCTGAGGTAAATGAAATATTACAGTAATACACAAGGCACTCCCAGAATCATCACTGAATTCTATGCCCTAGAATAACTAGGAGGCTGGATGATTTTTTTCCCCACATCAAAAAGTATATGTATGTATGTATTTTTATTGGAACGATAGATCAGATGTATGGAGTGAAGGAGAGAGAGAAAGATCTTCCATCTGCTGGTTAACTTCCCAAATGGCTGCAATGACCAAAGCTGTGCCAATCTGAAGCCAGGAGCCTCTTCCAGGTCCTTCTTCCATACAGGTACAGGGTCCCAAGGCTTTAGGCTATCCTCCACTGCTTTCCCAGGCCACAAGCAAGGGGCTAGATGGGAACTGGAGCATTTGGGACATTAACCGGCACCCCCATGAGAACCTGGTATTTGCAAGATAAGGATTTGGCCACTGAGGCATTGTGCCAGGCTCCAACTTTTTAGTTTCTAGTTGTTGTTGTTTTTTTAATTCGTAAGATATATTTATTCATTTGGAAGGCAAAGCTATAGAAAGAGAGAGACAGCAGCTTCATCAGGAGGTTCATCCTGGTCTCCTACATGGATGCAGGGGCCTAAGTACTTGGGCAATCTACTGCTTTCCCATGTTCATTAGCAGGGAGCTGCATCTGAAATGGAGCAGCTGAGACTTGAACTGGCATCCAAATGAGACACTGGCATCACTAATGGCAGCCTAACCAGCTGGGCCACAAGACCAGCTCCAACTTTATAAATATTAGCAAAGTTAAATTAAAACACACGTTAGGGTAGAGGACTCCTCTATCAAACATCACTAATGTATCAACTGAGTGTCAGACATACATTAACAACTGAAAGCTGAGTATTAAATCAATACAGTTAGTTAGCTACTCAATGCCGAATATAATCAACAAAACAATGGCATGATAATCTGCAACAGATTCAAACGAATGCTCATCATAAAGTAATTTTTAGAAAAATATGAAAATGCATGTCCTTAGTTTTTAAATTATTGCCATAGGACAAGAGAAATTAAATAACCTCAAACTAACTTTACAACCTCAGCAACTAGTTTATAAATTTATGCTAAAGTTCTCAGATAAGCATTGTAGTTTTTACAAAGGGATTTTGCAAGTTCTTAACACGTACATTCTCCTTCTCCCTATTCTCTTTATTGTGCTGAATACTATCCAGGGATGCAAAATTCTCATGATTCAGAACACTGTGATACTTCGGGGAATGTGCAAGTAGTAGCAGTGCTATCCCCACATTCCATGGAAAACTGCACCAGCTACTCTCTAGAGCCCAGGCAAGAATCTCCATACTCCAGGGTCGGATGAGCCTTACTGCCTATACAAGCCAACAAAATTCAAGCAAGCTGACACTGTGACTGGAAAATTAACAAAAGGACAAACTACACTTTGAGGGTAAGCAGAAGCAACAAATCAGCAATCTGAATCAATTTCATGTAACAACAACACAGCCACCAACAAGTCCTTAATCTGTTGCTCAGACATGGGAATACAGTTCTTCATTTGCAGACAGGGAAACTGAGGGACCATGGCAATTCTGTCACATCACCCATAACATGTTCTCATCGCAAGATATAATAATCAGTATTTTTTTGAAAACTGAAAATTACAATAGAGATCTAATGCTTTTGACAATTTAAAATTATTTTTAGTCAAGTTATATTCACTTCAAAGGCACCCTGACAAGTAAATAATAAGACTACATACCTAAAGTGGCAAACATAAAATATGACATCTTACCCAAATATTTGTAGAAGAAATAAAGTAAGACAATCATTACACAGCAGACAACCACAAATACTACAACTGTCAGAGGAGTGAAAGTTAAATACTCTTCCTTCTTTTTCTTCGCTTCTCTATCTTCAATGTTTGTGACTGCTTTCAAGTTTTCCCTGTATATAAAAACATAGACAAGAATCTCAGCAAACCTTTCCCAAATGGAGTTACTTCGAAAACTCACCTCTAATACAAGTTTAAATTTCTGATTACAAAAGTAATGCACTTTAAAAAAAAGGACACAAAAAATAATAAAATAAGAACTCCCCATATAATTTTTTATTTTTTAAGATTTACCTTTATTTTGCATTGGAAAATCAGATATACAGAGAGGAGGAGACACAAAGGAGGATATTCCATCCATTGATTCACTCCCCAAGCGACTATAACACCTGGAGCTGCGCCAATGTGAAGCCAGGAGCCCAGAGCCAGGAGCCTCTTCCAGTTCTACCATGTGCGTGCAGGGTCCAAGGTTTTGGGCATCCTTGACTGCTTTCCTAGGCCACAAGCAGGGAACTGGATGGGAAGCAGGGCTACCAGGATTAAAACCAGTGCCCATATGGGATCATGGTGCATGCAAGGCGAGGACTTTAGCTGCCAGGTTACCATACCGGGCCTCATATAGTTCTATTCTTGAGAGACAATCTGTTCTTAATTATTAGCTTTTGAAACAGAATTTTTTTTCTGGAGGCAAAATTGTTGAAATATATAATATCAAGTATGAAATATATAAACTAATGTCTACAGATACTCATGTATGCAGTTTAGAAAATATTTGTATTGACATAATAACTTGGAATTGATAAGCAATGCTTCTTACACAATTACTGTTATCAGCTGGTGATAGTAAGTATCTCTTTCAGTTTCTCCTAAAGGTGAACACTCAATTCTCCTTTCAATCATCTCAGGATTTACTACAGGCCTAGTAGTTGCTCATCCATAAATAATCAAGAAAACAGAAGAGTTTTATATAAAGTATAGCTTTGTTCTACCTTAATTTAACAAAGCAAAACCTGACTTTAATTCTCTGAGCAACACTTACTAGGTCACACAGCTAATCATTTGAAGAAAAAGAACTTCATGTGCCTGTTGGTTCTGTCATTTTTTAAAAAGATTATTTTTTATTGGAAAGGCATATATACAGACAAAAGGAGAGACAGAAAGATCTTCCATCCTTTGGTTCACTCCCCAAGTGGCTACAATGGCCAGATCTGAGACAATCTGAAGCCAGGAGCCAGGAGCTTCTTCTGCGTCTTCCACGCTGGAACAGGGTCCCAACGCATTGGACCATCCTCAACTGATATCCTAGGCCACAGGCAGGGAGCTAGATGGGAAGTGGAGCAGCTGGGACACAAATCAGTGCCCACATGGGAACATGCATGTAAGGCAAGGACTTCAGCTACTTGGTTACTGTGCCAGGTCTTGTTGGGTCATTTTTAAAAAATATTCTTATTTATTTTTATTTGAAAGATAGATTCACAGAGAGTTTCCATCCACTAGTTCATTTTCAAAATGGTTGCACTGGCTGGAGCTGAACCAATCCAAAGCCAGGTGCCAGGAGCTTCTCTTGGGTCTCTCACATAGGTGCAGGGACCCAAGAGTTTGAGCCATCTTTCACTGTCTTCCCAGTCCATAAGCAGGAAGCTGGATTGGAAGTGGAACAGCTTGGACTCAAACTCATGTCCACATGGAATGCCAGCATTGACAGGCAGACGATTAGCCTGCTCAGTTACCACACTGGCTCCTGCTCTGTCAATCTTGCTGTATTCTCCCAATTTATAAGGAATCTACTACAGACTTCTCCCACTCTGGTTCCTTTACCTCTGACTTTTGTTCCACTGAACTCTGGCCCCTCCTGTGTGTACCCTGACCCTGATTATCCGGCTCAAGGTTCAAGACAAACTTAAGATTGAAAGAAGTTCCCTTCTATCAAATTGTGCATTTGCCAACTGTTTATACCAACATGCCACCTTCTTATTAGAAAACTGTTGACTGGGATGGCAAGGTAAAGGATGAGGAGACTGCTGGGAACTCACATCAGCATCTCCCTGACACTGTATGGCAGGATGACAGGGTGTCAACAGTTTCAATAGATGTGCTACCTGTGTAGGAAAATGTCACTGCCAACATACACACTGAAAGACACTTTCATTATAGCATACACACTAGCCTTGTTAATTAAAGAGTTACATATTTATATTCAATAGACTAAAAGTTGCAACGCACTTTCTTAAAGGGAAAATATATGCTACATTTGTGTCTCAATAAAACATCATAATTCATCTTTCTTTTTGTAATTACATTCTTTCTCCATGTGGTCACCACACTTTCCTCCTTCACTGTCTTCATTTTGCTCCCAAAATCATCTCTCTCAATTTAAGATTTCATAATGCCTCAGGTATGGGACATTTCCTCTCCCAATCTGGCTACTGAACGCAACAAAATCTTGCTTTTTACTCCATCATCATATTTAATGGATTAAAAAGCTGATATTTATCATTTAAAAATTATTTATTTATTTGAAAGTCAGAGTTACAGAGAAAGGGTAAGACAGTCTACGGCCATACCACTGTGAATGCGCCCGATCTCGTCAGAGAGAGGTTAAGACACAGAGATCTCCAATCCACTAGTTCACTTCTTCATGGCTGCAACCACCAGCACAGAGGCAAGAATCAGGAGCTGCTTCCAGGTTTCCCATGTGGATAGCAGGGGCCCAAACAGTTGGACCATCTGCTGCTTCTTCAGGTCATTAGCAGGGAACTGGAGTGGAAGTGGACCAGCTGCTACTGGAATCGGTGCCTATATGGAATGTTGGCTTGGCAGGTGACAGCTTTACCTGTTATGCCACAATACCAGCCCCATGTTCCTCTCTGATCGATTTTTCTTAAGAAGGAGCTTGTCCTGACATATATATATAAAGCAGCTTGCCTTGCTAAAGCAAGATGTAATCCATGGGCAAGCACAGTCACCAGGAAGCTGGTTAAAAACGCAGTTTGAGTTCCCATTCCAAACTTGCGCAATCTGAATTTCTAAATTATATTTTAACAGGATTGTCATGCAGTTTGAGAAACTCTACTCTACAGAAACAAAAAAAAGCAGTAGCAAGCTATGCTTCCACCTGTGATGTTGGCATCCCATATGGGTACTGGTTTGAGCCCCACACGTTCTACTTCTGATCCAGCTGCCTGCTTAGGGACTAGGAGAGCAGCAGAGGATAACCCAGGTGCTTGGACATCCAGAAGAAGTTACTGGCTCCTGGCTTCAGACTGGAACAGTCCCAGCTCGTTCAGAAGTTGAAGTAGCAGATGGAAAAGCTCTCTCTCCTCTATCTGCAAGGATCTTTCAAATTAAACAAATAAAACTGGGGAAAAAGTGTGCATAATCAATGTATAGTGAGAATCTCTATCAAAACACAGTCAGACCACTGGCTTTTAGAAAATTACTTCCAAAGCTCCATCAAGTAATACTAAAAATTATCTTACAGAGGCTTGTTTAATTCCTAGCTGCTCTAGTTCAAATTGAGCTCCCTGCTAATGACGTAGGAAAGCAGTGGAAGGTGGGTCAAGTACTTGAGCCCCTGCTACTCACGTGGGAGACCCAGAAAAAACTCCTGGCCAAGCCTCAGCTGTTCTGATTACTGGGGGAGTATACCAGCAGATGGAAAATCTCTCTCACTGTTCCCCTCTTTGCTGTAACTCTGCCTTTCAAATACAGAAGTAAGTAAAAATAAATCTTTAAAAAGAACAAAATTATCTTACAGATCAGGGAGATTTTATAAACCATGTTTTATGAAGATTAATAATAAAGGAAGAAAACATGCTTACATAAAAAAGTGACTGCTATATGTTGAAACATGATTTCCAGTTAAGTATATTTAAAGGTTCAGCTCAAAACTCCAAGAATACATACTTTCTAAACTCTGATATTCTCTATTAATGTAAGTGAACCAAAATTTAGTATTTAAGAAAGTACAAATAAACTTAATTTCATATACAAACAAGCCCCTTTGAATGGAGCTTACATTGATCAATTCACAGCATGAATACAGTATCTTCAGTCAATTAAATAATGCACTGAGACCACAGCCTTGTACTCAGTGCTATTTAGATGAACAACCCTTCTAGGCTTTACTGTCTGTTTTAACCTACAATGAAAACGAGGGAGATAAAGGGATAGAGTGTTTAGGATTTTAGCATGTTACTAATTAAGAAAATCCAAATCTTAGCTATATTGGGAATTTCTACATTTTAAATAAAGTATAGACATAGGTAGTATCCTTAGAATTTCTAAATAATTCAACACAATAATGTGGGCATAATGCAATGACCTACACCAGCTGGAAAATTCCCTATCTTCTTGTTCATTTCCTTCCAATCTAAACAGGCATGGTAGCATATTATTTTCACCTTTCTTGAGAAACAGAATAAAACATCCTAACATAACGGAGCCCGTGACGTGCCGTGATGTGACTTCAGTCCCCCTGTCAGTAGAGCTAGAGGAACCGGCAACTCTACTTTCTGCAGTGAGAAGTTAAATGCCCTGTACATGAGCACAATCCTATCCTCCACTCTGGTCTTCCTGGACCCTATTCTGAGATCAAATAAAAACTTCAAATGTCATTTTATCATTTTAAAGCAAATACTTTTAAACCATTTATCACAAAACACTGAAGTTTAATTAAACTTACATTTCAATTAGTCCACTCCAATATCCTCCTAATGCCACAGTGAACACAGCAATTACAAAAATCACCACCATAGTATAATCAAAATTAGGCCACACTGGAGAATACATTTGTATAGTAATATTACTTCCAAGTGTCTGAAAAGCAAAAGAACAGTTGTGAAGAGGAATGAGCCTTCCTTCTACTGAAGAATATGACAGATGTATTCCACATTTCATACAAATAACGCTAGACGACAGAGACTCAAAAAGATACCACAATACATCCTTTAGCGAAAAGTGAGGACACACTTTGGTTCACAAAATCTTGAGAGTGCAGTGTCTTACACAATCAGGGACTTTAAATTAACATAGCTTTGATATAGTGTCACATGAGAGACGAGTATTTTTTTAAAAAATTTTGATAGACCTCTATAACTTCTTGTTAACAAATGGAATAACAATAAAAATATAATTGATAAAAAAATAAAGTTTTAGTATTTATGCATTTCACCAAACATGTAATTAATTCACCTGATTCATATCTTTAAAATCTTTGTAGCTTATAAATGCAATCGGTAGTTTCACATCTGGAAATTCAGATCTGTTCCCTGAGGGAGGAAACTAAAACAAGAAGAACATACGTTATTTATTCATTACTTTATAAGCATATTTAGTGTGTAAAATTTTATCCAACATATTATTTAATGTATACAAAGGCTAAAATTAGTAGTCTTTTCATTAAACATAAACATTATATCTTTAAACTATATATCTTCAAAATAAAATTTCAGGCATTACCTGTTAATACAAGTCCTCAAAATGGAATCCTTCCAACGTGAACTAAATTGTTACTTACTATGTACACTTGTGTTATACACACAAAAAAACCTACATCTACACATACATATTTATATATTTGTCCTCAACCATCTTGTCCACTCAAGGAATAGAACAAAAAATAAAAACTTCTCATTTGAATAGCAGATCGAGACTGCTTATTCTCAGAATCCTATCACCAGATTATTTAAGTCTCAGCCCATAAACCACACACTAAAAAATCATTACATTTCTATGATTTTTGATATGTTCAGAAGAAGTTCATATTTCATAACTTACTAGGATGCTGTTATTGGCAACCAACAATGCTTCAGCACCTCCTCTCTGCGCAATTTTGGCTTTTTCAAGAAAATGGCAGTGTCCCCAGGGTACCACCACTGCCTTGTTCTTTATGCCATAAGGAGGAATATCAGAAAGGTTGCATAGTGATGTAGCAGTCAGATTCATCAAAGCAATGGAAGTCTGCAAATAAGAGATGTCTTTAACATGGCAAAAATCACATTTTATCCTAACTGCATTTAGTGACAAAGCATTAATAAATATACTCTTCTCTTCAGTTAGCAATATTTTATGATAAACAATCAGGTTTGGAGGTAAGCATTTAAAAACCACCTGATATGTTTTTTTTCCCACAGATAAAAACAAAAAACTTGCCCAAGTTCAATAAAATCATCACCAACCACATGCCACAACTAACTCACACACACAAGCATATTATGCATTTTCACTTCTCCAATATTTTCACGTTGATGAATAAGCGTGAGCCATGCGTCACTTACGGCGTTGTCCAGGGTGCTTGGGAGCTCGGTCCAGTGTGGGTTATAGAGCATGCAGTAGTCCTTAGTGCCATTGCCAGAGGCGTGCAGGATCGCTTCCTGAGCAGCTGTCTAGGACATGAACAATAACTTTCATAATGGCAACAATGTAGCTTCCCAAAAACTAAGGATTTTCACAAAGCCTTTTTTATACAGGTTTGATCATGTGCCTTTGAAATGGTTGGTCTTTTAATACATTTATTTCTTATTGTTTAAAGAAATAAAAAGAAGGCTCAGAAATACGGGGACTACACATACTTGCCCGGAACTCCTATTTTTACTCAAAGCCCTTTTCACAAATGAGGACCCTAAGAAGTTATTAACATAACCTACTTAGTTACTCATGATAGAATCCTCCACAATTCTTACCGAAAGAAAAAATGCAAATAAACATAGAATTGATTAGACTTGTGTTGGGGTCTGGTGCAATGGCTCAGCAGCTAAACGCTAGCCTTACATACTCCAGGATCCCATCTGGGCGCTGGTTCTAATCCTAACTATTCTACTTCCCATCCAGCTCCCTGCTTGGTAAAACAGTAGCGGACAGCCAAAAGCCTTGGGACCCTGCACCTGCATGGGAGGCATTACATGAATAGTCCAATAATCTTTTATACAATATCCACAGTTTATATTAAAGTTTGCTCTTGGTGCTGAACAAAAGTGTAATGACAAGAGCCTAGTGTTGTACATCACACTGAATACTTCCATTAACCTAAAAGTTTCCTGAACTATTCTGAATTTTTTTTTGTTAAAGATCTATTTATTTTTATTACAAAGCCATATATACAGAGAGGAGGAGAGACAGAGGAAGATCTTCTGTCCGATGATTCACTCCCCAAGTGAGCACAACGGCTGGTGCTGTGCAGATCCAGAGCCAGGAGCTCTTCCAGGTCTCCCACACAGGTGCAGGGCGCCAAAGCATTGGGCCGTCCTCAACTGCTTTCCCAGGCCACAAGCAGCGAGCTGGAGGAGGAAGCGGGGCTGCTGGGATTAGAACCGGCACCCAAATGGGATCCTGGCGCATTCAAGGTGAGGACTTTAGCCGCTAGGCCACCGCACTGGGCCCCAATTTCCCTTCTTTAGGCAAATTGGCTCATGGCAGTCTTGGAATCAACTGTGCACCAGGGCCATCAAACCAGCCAATGTCAAACCAGTGATTTTATATTGAGCATCTTGATTCCCACACTCAAAAGAAGCAAATTTACTAGTTTATATATAGTGAACTAGAACTTATATATATAATATATATGTATATATATATTATATAGTTTCTTTTTAACTTCAGAATTTAAGTATACATGTCTGTCTTTTTTTTTTTTTTAAGATTTAAGATTTAAGATTTTTTTTAAGAAAGGCAGAGCTACAGAGAGGAGGAGAAACGAAGATCTTCTATCCAATGATTCACTCCCCTTGTGGCCACAACAGCCGAAGCTGAACTGATTAGCCAGAAGCCAGGAGCTTCTTCCAGGTCTCCCATGCAGGTGCAGAGTCCCAAGGCTTTGGGCCGTCCTCTACTGCTTTCTCAGGCCACAAGCAGGGAGCTGGATGGGAAGTGGAGCAGGCAGGATTAGAAATGGCACCCACATGGGATCCGGGTTGGTGCAAGGTGAGGACTTTAGTCACTAAGCTAATATGCTGGGCAGGAACTTCTCTTTTCTAATTCAAATTTATCTCGCACAAAACTTTATAGGTGGCAGACAATTACCTCAGTGATTAAGATATCTACATCTTAGGTCTGGTGAGGCAGCCTATTGGTTAAAGTCCTCATCTTGCATTTGCTGGGATCCCATATGGGCGCTGGCCAGTACCCCGGCTGCTCCACTTCCCTTCCAACTCCCTGCCTGTGGCCTGGGAAAGCAGCTGAGGACAGCACAAAGGCTTGGGACCCTGCTCCTGCATGGCAGATCTGAAAGAATCTCAGATCAGCTCAGCTCCAGCTGCTGTGTCTACTTTGGAACCAGCAGATGGAAGATCTTTCTTTCTCCTTCTCTCTGTAAATGTGACTTTCCAATTAGAAAAAAAATAATAATAAACCTTAAAAAAAATTATACATCAACATCCCAAATAAGACAACTTGGGTTGGAGGTATCTGATGCTAGCTCCTGTCCCCTGCTTCTTGTGAACTCATGCCCTGGGAGGCAGCAGTGCAAGTTTGAGCAGCTGAGTTCCTGCCACTAACATGAAAGATGCAGACTGAGTTCCAAGCTCTTAACTCTAGCCCACTCCAGGCTCTGCCTGTTGAGAGTGTCTGAGGAATAAACAGTGGGTAGAAGCTCTCTCTCGCTCCCTGGTCTTTCTTCATTTTTAAACAAATGTTAAAACTTACGAGGTGCTTGCCTGGTATTATGGGATCTCAAAACAATTCTAATTCATATGACCCAGATCACTTGGCGTCACTAAAAGTCCTCATCTTTCTCTATTCAAGTAGAAGAAATTAATGTTTAAATCTATCTTAATGTGACAGTGATTTCTTTGGCCATTTTTCTCCTAGTTTATGGTATGACAAAGTGTCAATAGTTCTGAAAAGCCAAAAAAGGAAAACTCAGTGGCATATGCTACCTGATATTCCTGTTGCTATACTATTCCCTTACTTTCTCAGACCAAACAACCGTGATTAGAAGAACATGCATCATGAATTTGGAAGTCATCAGGTTACCTAAATGCAGTGAATTTTGCACTGATCTTTTCGGCTGTCTCTTCTGAAGTGGCATCTATGCTTTCTGAAGTCTCTTGGTAACCATCAGCATGTAGGCAGGTTCCTGGCCCTCTGTTCCAAGTCTCCACATGCTGACTCAGCATTCTGGTACCCTGAACAAGACCTACTCTACTCCTGCTCAGGATAACAGCACAGTACAAGGTGTGTCCTTTGACTCTGAGTCACAAAATTTACTGATTTGCTTTTCTCCTCCATTTTCTTTCAAAAGAACCTTCCAGCATTGGTTTTTCTGATTTTGTCTTCACATACTCATTTTGAAAAACAACACCTCTACCCTATATCTATGCCAATCTTTATATGTGCCAGGACTCTATCTTAGCCCATTTTCACCTAGTCAAGGTTAAGTTCCAGGGCCTGGTGGGTGGGCCTAGTGGCTAAAGTCCTTGCCTTGCATGTGCTGGGATCCCATATAGGTGCCAGTTCTAATCCTGGCAGCCCTGCTTCCCATCCAGCTCCCTGCTTGTGGCCTGGGAAACCAGTTGAGGAAGGCCCAAAGCCTTGAGATTCTGCACCCACGTGGAAGATCGGAAGAAGCTCCTGACTGCTGGCTTCAGATTGCTGCAGCTCCAGCCATAGCGGTCACTTGGGGAGTGAATCAATGGACGGAAGATTTTCTGTTTCTCCTCCTCTCTGTTTATCAGACTTTGCAATAAAAATAAGTAAATCTTAAAAAAAAAAAATAAGCTCCAAATAATGTAGTGTTGTGACTAGCACCATGGCATAGTAGACTAGGCTTTCACGTTTGGCAAATGAATCCCATGTGGGCACAAGTTCAAGTCCTGGCTATTCCTGTTCTGAACCAGCTCCGTGATTATGGTCTGGGAAAACAGCAGGGAATGTGTAGGAGAACACATGTAGGAGATCTGGATCTGGAAGAAGCTCGTGGCTCTAGTTTGGCTCTGGATCAGCTCAGCTCCAGCCATTGTGGCCATTTCGGGAATGAACCAATGGATGGAAGACACCTGTCTCTCCTCTCTGCAACTAAACCTTGCAAATAAAAATAAAATCAATCTTTTAAAAATAATGTAGTGTTAAGCTTTCTTCTGTATATATTTAACTCATCTTAAAGGCACTAATAGATTAATCAAACATGCTTTTCCCCTTTTCCTAGAGATTATGCTAAGTAATGTATATAACATTTCCCCCTTAATTATAAATTAGTGCCTCAATTTTAATATTCTTATTTAAAAAGCAGATGTATACTTATTTCTTAAGTTTTAAGAAACAATATAAACGTGACTATAGCTTTCTCTCAACACAATTTTTCTTAAACCCATAAATTTAACTGTGCTTCCATTTGAGATTCTGATGGGTAATTAGCATTTTTTAGAATTCTATATTCCTAAAGCACAGAAATAAACTAATAATGTAACCACTGGTAAATATACTGGGCAACAGTCACTTATCCACTGCCCTTAACTGTAAGCCATGTGAGAGGTAAGCTTTTGCTTACAAACACCTTTCTCTTTTATATAGATGGCAGTTCTAAATCAGCAGTAAGAACACCAGAACTGAAAGGAACCCTCTCAGTGCCAGCTAAGTTGAATTATGTGTAAAATGACATATTTTGGGGGCAGCATGGTAGTGTAGCATGCTAATCCTATGCCTGTGGTGAAGGCATCCCATTTGGGTGCCAGTTCTAGTTCTGGACACTCCACTTCTGATCCAGCTCTCTGCTTATGGCCTGGAAGAGCAGTGGAGAATGGCCTAAGGCCTTGGGTCCCTCTAGGAGGCTGGAAGGCAGCTCCTAGCTCCCAGCTTTGAGCCTGTCCAGCTCTGATTACTGTGGCTATTTAGGGAATGAACCAGTACATGGAAGAACTCTGTCTCTCTCTGTAACTCTTTCTCATCCACTCCTCTAACAATTTAGAAAATCAGATAATGCATACTCGTTAGCCCTACTTCCAATATGCAAGATTTATAGAAAAGAAGTATTAGTAGGGCATCGAATGAGGATTTACGGGGGGGAAAAATCCTAGTGGCCCACAGGTCACAGAAGATGGATGGCCAGAATCATCCCGTGAGCTAGGAGAACTGTGAAGAGGTACTGGGTGCAGGTAGGAGACAAAGCGCCATTCACTTCCTCAATCCTGTGTAGTCTATGAGATTCCAGGACTGGCCACAGGTTCTCCTTCCTGGGGCTTCTCTTCCACTTGTTACATAGTTGCAGCCTTCTTCTTCATGTTCCTTATGTAATCTTACTACTTGCCTTTGTTTGTTTTGTGCTGCTACAATAAAACACTACAGGCCCAGCAGGATGGCTTAGCAGCTGGATCCTCGCCTTGTAAGGACCAGGATCCCAAATGGGCACCGAGCTGCTCCACTTCCCCTCCCACTCTCTGCTTGTGGCCTGGGA